TTGCATGGCTGCGTCATGAGTCATCTCCCAGAGGACAACACGGGTACTGTGACTCACGTCCTAGGCAGCTTCCACACTGCTGTACAGGAAGCGCTGGTGGGGAAGACACTCCGGATTAGCCTGGCAGCTCCTTCCTCCACCTACTTTCACCTAATGGGCCAAGGAGCACCTCATGTGCTTCAGTGAGTGAGGTCCTGTGGTCACACCCTCATGACTCAGGTGGGACACGGGCTCTGGCTCCCAATTACAGCGTTGTTCTTGCCAGGCAGGGGGGAACCTGTGGATCTGCTCAGGATGGGCTGTGTTTCCAGATCTTTAGTTTGAGTAACTGCCATTCCTCACAAATAGCTGTCACCAATAAAAGTAATGTGGCAGAAGCTTAAGAGTCACTTGATGTTGACTTCCCATGTGTTTTGCAAAGGCAGTGATGAAAAGAAAAAGTATTGAGCGAGTCCGGGAGGAAACCCTGTAGTATAGTGTAGCGGTTCAAAGCACGTAGTCCTCTGCAGACCAAATTTGTCTTCCCTCACTGTGCCTTGTAACTGACAACAGTGATGATCTCGTGTGGCTGTTGTGAGGGTGTAAAAGGTTAGTAGGGACTTTGGCATACACAGTGAGGCTGCCAGCAAGCACCTAGTTTTACAGGGAGGTGCACCCGTTGAGTCCTTCCCACAAGTCGTCTCAGGCGATCCTTAGAAGAATCCTAGGAGCAAGGGCCATCTCAGTGTTTGCAGTTAGGGAAACAGAGGTAGCAAGATACCGGAAGGTACGTGGATCTGCTGGGCTTTTAGATACCCTGCTCTGTGACTTTCCAAGCAGAGAAAAGCAGAACAACTTTGAAAAAGGATCAAATGTTTCAGCATGGAAATGAGCGTTTGAAGTCTTGTTTTCAGTATCAGGGTACCAAGCCGGGGGTGGGGAGGATGCATCAGGAAGCATGACTATGAATCAGCTACCTCACAGAGCAGCCAGGATGGAGCCACGTCATTTACAGGCTCAGCACTGAAAACATCAGCCGTGTATTCCAGTACAGATTCCTCCCGCCCCCCGAGACATGAAAGGGCGTTCAAAGACAAGGAGCTTGTCGCTCTAAAAGTCACATTATTAAAATATGTTTGCTTTCATTCGCTTTTTGTTTTAAGCACTTATCCTCATTAGCATCATAGCAACAAAGTCCCTTTACTCAGCTTTCTTCTGGGTTATCATATGACTTGCACACACAGGACTGTGTTGGAGACAGACAATAGTTAGGCTAAACTTGCAGCATCCGGGACTCCTAATTTAGATCAGTTCAGCTCAGTAAACACTTGCTGAGTTCCTATCACAAGAAAATATTGTTCCAGGGACAGGCTGGATACGGCACTGGATTAAAGCCGTATTTTGAGGGTTCCATAGCCATATAGACAAAGACATTTCAAATGGTTTGTGGGAACTAGGTTTACAAGTTTATATGGATGCAAGAAAGTTTGAAATTCATGTATATGAGGGGAGGGTCTTCAAAAAGTTCATGGACAACGCATATTGTGATACTCCTATGTATAAGTGTGAGGGTTTTTTTTGCACCAAAATAAACTAACTTTTATAAAAAAATTAATACATCTATTTTTATTATGTTTGAAAAGCAGAGAGACAAAGCAACAGAGATATCTGCCCACTAATTCATTCCCCAGAGGACTCAGCAACCAAGGCTGGGCCAGACTAAAGCCAGGAGCCCAGAACTCAGTCAGCATCTCCCGCTGAGCAGCAAGGACCCAAGCACGGTAGCCATTACCTGCTGCCTCCCAGGTGCACATTACCAGGGTGCTGGGCCAAAGCAAAGGAGCCAAGACTCCAATTCAGCACTCCTGTCTGGGATATGGATCCCACATGAGCAGTGACTTAACTGTAGCACCCAAAGATGGCCCTGAAACTTACTTTTTTTCCCCAGAGACTTGCTGAACTACCCTTATATGGTTACAAGCTTACCTTTCCATATCGGACAGGGACAGGGCAATTATAGGGCAGTTTCTGTGGCTGAATAAATTTGCTCTGGATGGTGCCATTCTAGGACCGGAGAATGCTGTGCCCGGCTGTGTGGCTGGCACATGGTTATTGTCAGGGTGATCGCCAAGAGTGGACACAAACAGAGAACCCATGCTAAAGACAGGAGACAGGTTCTGCTTCTGAGCTGTGTGACTATGGGCAAGGCCTTTTGCTCCTCTGGTCCCAGCCTCTTCACCAGTAAGCAGGACGCTAAAGACCGCTCAACCTGTGTGCCCAAGAGCCTGTAATTCTGAGCGAATTGATAGGATGGTCCATGCATGCATCGCAAGATGAACTGCCAAGGAGAGCTTTCACCTTCCCCAAAAATGCTCTCTCATAAACCTGCTTTCAGATCCACTCTAATGGCCACAATTAAAAGCTATAGATGCAGTTGTAAGCTATGTGATAGAACAAGATTACTGTATTACTCATTGTTGTAGACAGATCATCTATATTTCCTTAAAGTGAGTGTAAATGTAGAATTTTTAAATGTCCAAGCAGTTCATTTAGGAACCCTCCCTGTCCAAGCAGCGGACTGGCATCCCCCTGCCCCTGCACCAATGTTAGGAGAAGTATTGGCAAATATTGGAGTTAGGCCCTTGATCTGGGACTGTGGGAAGAAGCATAAAAGATTCTCCATCAAACCAAACCAAACAAGAACCTATTGTCCGAATAATGTATCTTATTTCTTTCCAGAAGAAGGAAACATCTATTGAGAAGTTCTCCAGTCTTTTATCTCATTTAAGTGTTGACCAAGGTTAGGCAGGGCCATGCCTGTTGGTGAGAAAATAGTGGAATAAAGCAAGCTCTCCATTTCCCTTAACCTTGTGACCTGTGACTGCATGCACTGGTAATTCTTGCAGGAATCCCAATTCCACTTCCTACTAGAAGTGGGCCCTATAGATCCTCCCCATCCCACCCCACTGCTTGGCTACAAAGCTGCTGCCTTCCTTCCCTCCCCACTGATAAGATGTGAGGCCTGCAGTAGAGCTAGAGGTGGGGTGGACTTGCTCAGGTGTGCGGTGACCTTGTGGCTCGAATACAACATGCCTGGGTGTCAGGCATCTCCTGACACTGGCGTGTGTGTGCGTGTGTGTGTGTGAGATGCAGCAGTGAGGGGTCTCTGTAAAGGCAACACTTGACCCACCTCTCCTTGGTATAAGGGCACTTTGTTTAGCAATGGGGTCCCCAAGGTCTGGCCCTATTTCTTCTTTCTTCATTTCTCCTGTTGCCAGTTACAGAGTTGCATGAACTAAGGAGTCACGTAGGTCTCCCCAGACTGCTGGGCTTGTAAGGACAGGGTAACAGGGTTGTGAGCAAGTGGCTTCTTCTGTGGCTCCCATACGGCCAGCTCCTCTCCATCCCTCCCACCCCCACCCCAGCCTGCGGTTGGGAAGAGGAAGAGATCTAGGCTCTGGCAGAGCAGGGGATGATTCAGGCCGGTCTCGCCCCCTCCCCCCCAGCAACTTTTCTGAACCCTCTTCAGTACCACCATGCAGTTACCAGGCCCTAGGGTAGAAGTCATTTCTTCCTTAAAGCCTGCACAGCATGTGGATTCCCCCAGGCCTTCTCCACAATCTTACAGAACTGCATTCTAAAAGCCCAAGTTGGTGGTTTGTGCCACTGAATCCCACAGCAGTGCCAAAGGTCCCATCCTCATCATTACCTGTCTACCTGACTCTCCTCTGTGCCTTGCAAGGACCTGGGAGATGACCACAGAATGCTGGTGCCCGGGCCTCTGCCTCTCAAGGTTCTGATGGAATGATGTGGGGTATGAACCCTGTGCACTTGTCTTTTCGAAGTCCAAGGTTCTACGTGGAAGCTACTGCTCCATTTGTGTAGGCCTGGTGCCCCCCCAACATGCTGTACCTGTGCCTGAACCAAACATGCCTCCCCTTCTTCCCCTCAGCTACCCTCTGCTTATCTTCCTGCTACTCAGGAGCCTCTTCCTCCAGGCAGCCCTCCCTGACCCCTCCTGGTAGACTCAGCTATGTCCTTCCTTCCCCTGGGCTGCCGGACTGCAAGAGGCCTGCTTTCTTCTGAATGTGCACCTGCTGCGGTGTGGCTGGCAGTTGCTCCAGCCCTCTCCCTCATGAGGTCTTGAGTTTCTTTCAGGAAAGAGATTTTATCTTTCTTCCTGGTATTCCTGGAGCTGAGCATGCTCTGGCACCTCACAAGCGGTCAGTGAGTATTCAGTGACCAAATGGGCCAAGATGAGGCCCCCAACATGTGGCAGGGGCAGAGCTAAGGCAAAACCCCAATGCAAGCTTTCCCGAATCCACCCAAGTGGAGTAGCCCTCAAATGCAAGTTCAAAGAACTCTCAATTTGGCCTTTTTGCCAGTAATGCTTTCTGCTTTTCCCTGCGGGGGTTTGGAGAATATTTCTTTTATTAGGAAAGTGCTTTCTCTCCTAGAATGAGTTGTCATAAAATGATGGCTGGAAATGCTCTCTCTGAGAAAATCATGCTGGCCTGGCTGTGGTTTGCTTTCTTCCTCCCAGCTTGTCCCTCCACTGGACATCCTGTGGGTTGAACAAGGCCAGGAAAGTTCCACACCAAGAATGTTTCTTTCCTGCTCTCACTCTCTCTTTAAAACTCTTTTATCATCAGGGCTTTCTGATCTTCAAAGTAGCCCTTCTCCAGCATGACCCCACTCCCTCACCTCCCCAACCTGGAGAGTGAGAGCTGTTGAGTATTTTTGTCATTTGGAGGACTTGCATGTTTGGATAGCCTTGGCTGGCTGGGAAGAGAGGTCCCAGTCACTCTGCAGGGATGAGAACAAGTCAGCATTTCTGAGTCCCCGGGCACCCCTGCATCAGCCACATGGAGAAATGAACCCCAGGCTCCAGGGTTAGGCAAACAACGAGTTTAGAGGTCCCTAAGCCTTTGCCTCATCTCCTGGGGGAAGCAGCTGTTTCATGCAGCCCTCTCGGCAACTGGGACCAGCCATCTCCCTCAACCCTTTGTGTTCCTCTGCAGTGTTTGGTCCTGGATAAGTTTGAGAGCTACGATGACGAAATTCAGCTCACCCACCGGGCCCTGTCCCTGCTGGAGGAGAACAGGTTCTGGGCTGGTGTGGTATTCCCAGACATGTATCCCTGGACCAGTTCCCTGCCACCCCACGTCAAGTACAAGATTCGGATGGACATCGATGTGGTGGAGAAGACCAACAAGATCAAAGACAGGTGATATTTCAGGCAGAACTTGCTGGGCTGCTCTCAAGTCAGTTGGAATAGAGTGACTATGGAGATGGAACTCAGCCTACAAATCCACAAGACAAAGTTAAATATTTTGTATGATGATGTAGCAAGCTGGTCCTCCACCTGTGGCACTAGCATCCCATGTGGATACCAGTTCATGTCCTGGCTGCTCCACTTCCAGTCCAGTTCCTTGTTTATGGCTTGAGGAAACAGCAGAGTAAGGCACAAGTCCTTGGATCCCTATAATCATGTGGGAAATCCAGAGAAAGTTCCTGGCTCCTGATTTTGGATTGGCTCAGCTGTGGCCACTGTGGCCATTTAGAGGTTGAATCAGCAGTTGGAAGATTTTCTCTCTGTCTCTTTCCCCTTCACTCTGCAAATCTGCTTTTCAGATAAAAATAATCTTTATTTTAAAAAATTGTTATTGTATAGTTCAAGTGGAGTTCTTGAAAGAAAACCCCTTTTAGAGTTACATGTGCCTAATGTTCATAATTGCTCTAAGTTGTGAACACACTTGCCTGGTCACACATCCATTGTTTCTCCCTCCTATGTCTCTTTCCTAGGTACTGGGATTCTGGGCCCCGAGCTGATCCCGTGGAAGACTTCCGCTACATCTGGGGAGGCTTTGCCTATCTGCAGGACATGGTGGAACAGGGGATCACAAGGAGTCAGGCCCCCGCAGCAGCACCACTTGGCGTTTACCTGCAGCAGATGCCCTACCCCTGCTTCGTGGACGACTCGTGAGTCCTAAGCTGCCTCCCCGCAAGCTGATTCCAGTGCTGAGAGAGGGGGCAGTGCAGCAGGAGTCCTGGAGTCTTCATTGTCTTTGGAGGGAACCCCATTGACCAGGGCCAGACCAGAGACTTGGGAGCTCTGGCTGAAGAACCTGGCTCCTGCTCCTCTGGCAAGGGCCACAGAGACATGGAGGGCAGGGAGAAAGAAAGAAAAGAAAAGGGGTGTTGCAAGTGCCAAGGAGAAAGAAAAGAAAAAGAGTGTTGCAGGTGCCAAGGAGAAGGTGAAGATTAAGGCCAGGGGAGTGAGACTGGGGGAGGGGATGAGGTCTATCTTCATTTCCCACTACATAATACATTTGGTATGTGCAAAGGCTCTGATCAGAGTGTCTGCCCAGCGATTGCCAAATCAGCAACTTTGGACTCTGCATGGCAAGTAGGGCTGGTTCCTGGGAGCCGCGGAGTAATGTGGCTCCTTCCTAATTAACATTCCCATGACGCGTGCTTAATGAAAAGGTAGAGGAATGTGTTGAATGAGCTTGCCCTTCCTCCCCGACCACCCTCATCCCCAGCCGGGGCGTGTGTTGGCCAGTAGCAGGCTAAGCAAGTCGTGTACTGTTTCTGCTGAACATGCATATGAGGGACGGAGAGAAAGCAAGGGCTGGGAGCATTCACCAATTGTGGCAGAGGGTGCTAGAACACTCCCAGGACCTAGCAGAAACCAGTATCAGCCCTAGGAAAATAAACAACCAACCAGAACCATTTACCATCATGTACGTGTGTGTCTGTGGATTTCAGGCAGTTCAGGGGGCTTGGCAGTAGCCCAGCTCCCAGCTGAAAAGTCAAGTGAAACCCAGTTTGGACGCAGGAAAGTCTCCCTCCACACTCCAATTCAGTTGCAGCAGGTAGAAGAGGTTAACAGAACTCTTGTGCAATTAGTGTAGTTTGGGCAACAGGCAGAGCGTGGGGCTTGGAGCCAGTGACCAAAGCTCAGGTCCACTCTTCAGATAAGCGTGGGAGGAGCCCCAGGGAGTCAGAGCAGGTGTGGGGGAAGGAGTGGGAACCTGGATCATTCAATGTGAGAGAGTCCTCTGGTGGCCCTTTTCTGAAGTGCATGTTTTATAAGGGTGTGTGCTCTCTCCCTAGGGCCATCTTGAGTGAAACCCTGCTTCCACTCCTTCCCGCTGGAATTGGACTCTTCCTGTGACTACACCCAACAATTTCCGATAGATAATAACCCCAGGGGATTTACTAACATAGCAGGGAAGAGGAGCAAAGTTCACACCAATGTGATCTCTTTCCTGGCTGTGGTGGCTGTCTCAGCCCACACCACCTGAACCTGGCTGCTGGAGGCAATGGCTGTTGCACCCATTTACTGGTGGGTCAGGTGCCTTCTGAGGGTGCCATGATGCAGATCTTCCATGCCTTTTCCTGCCTACCTAGGATGTGACCTTTCAGGGCAGACAGTACTAGGCAGATTGAATCCCTCTTGGGGAGCCCAGTGATGCAGTCTCCTCCTATCAGGCCCTCTGGTTTGAGCTCTTTATTCTTGGGCATCCTTGTTAGTGCACATATAGGTTTCTATCCTAATCATGTCCCATGTCATCAGGATTACAGTCTGTCCCCATGAGGCCTTACAAGGCAGATCTACAGTGCATGACACAGATGGTATGATTTTATTGAAATGTTTAACTTCATAAAGTATCCATCTAGACCAACCAGAAAGCCTCCTTCTTGTTCTCAAGGAAAAGTAATGCTTCTTAGAAAGATTGCCTGCCACTGAATGTCCTGTGGAGGTTTTTTGTTGTCCTCCTCTGTCTGGGCTTTGTTCTCAGCACCTGTCTTAGACAAACACGCCTGCACTTCCAGCATGTAAAGAGTGCTCTGTGACCCTCCTTTTCTCCCTTTGCTTTAGTTTTATGATCATCCTGAACCGCTGTTTCCCTATCTTCATGGTGCTGGCGTGGATTTTCTCTGTCTCCATGACAGTCAAGGGCATCGTCTTGGAAAAGGAACTGAGATTGAAAGAGACCTTAAAAAACCAGGGTGTCTCCAACGCGGTGATTTGGTGCACGTGGTTCCTGGACAGCTTCTGTATTATGTCAATGAGCATCTTCCTGCTGACACTGTTCATCATGGTAAGCCTGATGGGAGAAAGCCTTGAACATTTCTAGTCATTTTCTCTCTCCTACCTTTCCTCTTGCTCATGAACTTGGTCTGACCACCAAAGAGAACATGACCTACCTCTGGTTTCCCTACCGTCTCTGCCAAGACAAAAGATACTCAGACAGGCAATGTCTCCTCCCAGGAGCCACTAGCATCCTTCCCTCCCCCACTTCCGGACAGTTATTTTTTTCCCCCCAGTTCCATTCCAAGACACTCTGGGGAAGCTGGAGTAAGCAGAGCCCTGCACAGGATGAGTGTGTGTTCAAAGGTGTCATGTCTCCTCAAGCACTCAGCGAGTGTTTTCCTGGGATTACCATTCCAACAACCGGCCAGGGTTGGAATGTGGAGCGCCCTCTGCCGTGGTATTAGGGCAGGAGACCTGAATTAGCTAGTTAATCATCACCATCCTGGTCACACCATACATGGCTCCCCCACAGAACTGCCGCCTTGCAAATCCTCCAGAGCTCTCTGTTCTCGAGGGTGGAATCTGGAATCCTTGCTCAGAGATAAGGAGTTTTTACAGCCGCACGCACAAGGCGTCCACTCATCCTCTGCAAACACACAGCCCTCTTTTGAGTTAGACTTGGAAATAAAACACTATTTCACAACACTCTGCTATCTTACATTTCTAGCTCCTCCTCAGTAAATGATGTTTGTATTTGTTGAATGATAAGGATAAAACATTGGAGTAATTTTGATACCTTCTTGGGTGGAATTTGGTCTAATCTTGAGACTTCTGTCTTTGCAGGCTCCCAATATGATCTCATTAGGCTTATTCTACTTTGCCACCAGCATATTAAGCCCCTTTCTGTATTAAGCAATACATATGATCCCTGCAAACTGAGTGGTCCCCATCTCACACCAGATCACCACTGCTGTCTACCTGATCCAAGAATGTTCTATCATACATCCAGTTAAAGCAACTCTTGGCCCTTTTCTCAGTAGTAAGAAGTCTTGAATCTGAAGGGTTTGTTTGTAGGTGCTGCCCTGTGACCAGTGAGCCGTGGCCACTGCCACACTTGGTCCTGGAACTCTGCCAAAAGCTCAGCTGGAGGTCGTTTGACTCAGACAACCTGGCCTAGATGGCTATGGCTTTGAATTTGCAAAGGGTACTGGCTATGTTAAGATGAGGGGAGAAAGCTGAACCCTCTTGTATTTTCCAGAAGCCCTGTCCAGTTCCTTCCCCCGCCCCTCCCCATCTCTCAGTTTGCCTCTTTCCCCAGGACCAAGATATTTTGTGTCTTCAATGGAAGGTGTCAAAATGCATAAGCGTCTGACTTAGTCTGGCTCTGCCTGACTCATTGCTGCTAAGCGACACTGACATCTGTCTTTCTGAGAATGGGCCATCAGGACTTCAAAGCTTTTAGGACGTGAGGCAAAGAATGCTCACCTAGAGTTTCTTGCATAAAAGGGCTTCTGGTTCTGGGAACCAGGACATTGTTCCAGTGATGACGGAAACAGAGCTTTCCACCCCAAAATAGAGTTTTCCCTTTGAATGACTCTGCCATCTTACCCTTGTCCTTTCCTCCCAAGCACAACTTTGCAGGAAAGAAACTGGAAATGAGGACAATTGTAAGTGTTCATTAGAGGAAGTCAAGGCTAGTGAAACTGTGGGGCCCATCAAGGAGCTCTAGGAGTTAAGAAGTTCACTTTGATCTGGGATAAAAATTGACTTCATTCTTCCAATAAGAGTAACAGTTGTCTTAATGGTCTTCCAGCCAAAAATCCGAGCTTCAGCTCTGGGCTTGCTTTTCTGTGGAATTACACCTGATCAAGGAAAAGGGCTGAGGTTTTCCAGTGTGATATAGAGTACTTACTGACACACAAAGTCAGGAACACTTGGATTTCCTCTGACTTTGCTTCTAGCTGAGCTGGCTCTCTTGCATTTTGCCTTTGTGATTTTGTGTTCTACTTCTCCACCCGGTCTGTCTGGGCCCAGCAGGCATGAAAACATGAAGGAGAAATGGCTCATTTGCTCCTTCATGGTCCATCACATATATTGCTAATTGGCTTCTTTTCTACAGATAGGAATCCAGTCATGAAATGAGTTTCTTTGTCTTCTGATGTTCCTGAGGGAAACACTGGGTGATCTGTTTCCAGAGATGTGTTTAAAGAGTGAAGCTCATTGGATGCCTGGGGTACATTTGAATCTCTTCATATGTCCTATAGTATAAATGGCAGTGGCTGGCTTAGCAGAAGTTGCTAGCCAAGGCTACCTCCTCCCCCAGTTATGAAAGACACGGAGTGTTGCTTGCAGGCTCTGTGATATTTATGTTTACCATGTTCATGGACAGGGAGGACCCATCCACTTCCAAGTGATCTGGATTGTTTACTGTTACCTATGTGAGTAACAAGTCTTGGGATACAAGTATGAATGGTGGCGTGAGAAGGTCAAGCCCCAGGCACAATCCTGAGTAGCCCTTGGCCCCTCTCGTGTTCTTTGTCACTTGGTACTTGCAGGTTGCAATGGACACTCATGATTACTGCTCAGGACTTCCTTCTTAGCTCTTATTGTGTTTCTCCACACTATTATCCACCTAGCAAGAATCTGCTCACTTCACACAAATAGTAACTGTTAAAAAATAAATTTAGACACATTACCATTGTTTAGCATTTTATCTCAGAAAAATTATAAACTGACAGAACAAAAAGTGTGAGGTAGTAATACAGAGTTCCCATATACCCCTCAGCCCACTTCCCTTACTGCTAACAACTCATTAATATCTTTGTCACAATTAGTAAGGCATATTCAGCTCCCTTATTATTGTTTTTAATCTAAACTCTTCTTATGCCTCCCATTTTCCTATACCCTAGTAATCAACACTCTGTTTGAGATGGAGGGCTTTTTTTTTTGGTTTGTTTTTTATTTTTTAAAGATTTATTTTTATTATTTTTTCATTGGAAAGGCGGATATACAGAGAAGAGAGACAGAGAGGAAGATCTTCCGTCCGCTGATTCACTCCCCAAGTGAGTGCAACAGCCGACCCGAAGCCAGGAGCCTCTTCCGGGTCTCCCATATGGGTGCAGGGTCCCAAAGCCTTGGGCCGTCCTCGACTGCTTTCCCAGGCCACAGGCAGGGAGTTGGAAGGGAAATGGGGCTGCCGGAATTAGAACCGGCGCCCATATGGGATCCTGGGCGTGCAAGGCGAGGACATTAACCACTGCGCCACCGCGCCGGGCCCTGTTTTTTATTTTTTAAAGTTTAGCTTCCACACATTTTGTCTTTCTGTTTAGCTTGTTTTGCGCAACATGATAATGTTCCATCTATTGAAATTTCCATGAGTTTGTATAAACAGCAATTGATAAGTTGGGTTGCTCCAGACCACCTTTGATTGAGGGCTTTACTAAGGTTGCATAGAAGCAAAAACAAAGAAATATTTGATTGAAGTAGAAGTCCTAGTCAGGGGTTAAATGGTGGCTTCTGATTAAGTTACCCTGTGTTGGGTTTCAGTTTATTTATGCAGAAACCCAGAGTGCTGGAGTCCTCTAAGCCTAAAGATCCCCTGACTAATTTTTTTTTTCCTTTTTTAATAGTTTGTTTGAAAGGCAGACAGAAAAAGATAGAAACAAAGAGATCTCCTATCTAATGGTTCATACCTAAATGCCTGCAACAGCCAGGACAGGAGTTGAAAACTCAAGTGGGTCAGGAGAAGGAAGGGAACCAAGTACCTGAGCTACCATCTGCTGCCTCCTAGGGTGCACATCAGTAGGCAGCTGCAATCAAGAAGGTGCCTGGATTTGAACCCAGGCACTCTGATGCTAATGATGTGATGATGAATCACCCTTCCCCAGAGGAAATGACATGCATAGGATGAGAGGAACTCAGCACATAGAGTCTGCATTGCAGCATCTAGGCATTAATAAAAGGCTGGTGGGAGAGACCCTTCCAAGGCTGAGGGCTTTGGGGGACGCCGGTTGTCCCCATAGAAAGTGGTGGCGATTGCTGACATGTGGCCACTCTGGTTTCAGCATGGGAGAATCCTGCACTACAGCGATCCGTTCATCCTCTTCCTGTTCCTACTGGCTTTCTCCACGGCCACAATCATGCAGTGCTTCCTGCTTAGCACCTTCTTCTCCAAGGCCAGCCTGGCAGCAGCCTGCAGTGGCGTCATCTACTTCACCCTCTACCTGCCCCATATCCTGTGCTTCGCCTGGCAGGACCGTCTGACAGCAGAGCTGAAGATGGCCGTGGTGAGGCACCCTGGATGCAGCCTGGTGCATTTCCTCTGGGGCAAGGTGGGGTCTGAGGCGTTCCTGGGGGCCATCTGCCCTTTGAGGAGGTGCACTTTGCCTTTTGACTCAAAAGGACATTAGGGTCAAGGGTTAATGGAAGATTCAGGAGTGCAAGGGCAAGAGAGGAAGTGGCTGCCCCTTGAGCAACCCTGACAGCTACTGCCTGCCCAGCTTGCTCCACTGACCTGCCCTGGGAAGTCATTAGAAAACCAGTTGAACTCAAGGACATCTGGGTTTATCCATAAAAGAACCAGGGGACCCATTTCATTCGATTTTCTATCCCTGCTACTTGGAAAGAATCAGAAAGGAGGTGTTTTCCCCCTGACCAGAAGGATGTTTCCAACAAATTAAAAATGTTTGTTGCATTCCCAAACCACTGGAGTTAGATGCCCTCTGCACATGCCTTTGATGTAGCCTGCTGGTGCACACAGACTAAGCCGGCACAGACAGCCAGTTCCCTGGCCAGGCCACAACTCCAGACCTTGATTTTTGATTATCAGATAAACAAACCTTTTGGTTCGTGATGCCCATACACAGTGCTTTTTTTTTCCAAGCCTTTTCAAACAGGCCACTTTACTCTCCCCTTACTTAGCCCAGGCTAATCAGCCTTGGGTCCTGGAATGTACAGTTTCCCATGCTTTCTAGAATACCCCCGCCTTGGTGTTGTGGGGTTAAGAAAGGATGGTACTGGCCTCTGGTTGTGGGAAGATCTTAAGTCTAACTCGTTCTCACGTCTCAAACCTCCTTGACTCCAGAGCTGCCAGGGCTTTTGCCTTTGATTGCTCATGCAAAATAAGAGATTAATTGCAGCCACTTGCAGCACCCAGTTTTCAGAGCTGAACACAATGGGTTGCAGTGAGAAGTCCTATGACTCAGCCTGTGGGCACAGCTGGGCTATTTTGGTAGTCAATGGGTAAACAGATGCTACTTAGAGGCCACAGGCTGGCATCTTGAGTGTGTAGATATGCTGCCAAGCTACAGGGTGGCAACTAGCAGGATGTGAGGTCAGGACCTGGGTTGAGATTTTTTTTAACAATGGTGTTTGTAAATGGATAGCAAAAGGACACCTTCCTTTTGCAGAAAGCCACTCTGAGCTCTACCCAGAACCCTCCAAATTACAAGGACCTCAGAGTAGAGGAAATGGGAATAGCCAATCCCTCTGCACGTGCTTTTGTGCCCTGATTGGAGCACCTCCCCTTCAGACCCTCCCTGGGCATCTATTATGATCAGTTGACTTGTTCATGCATAGAACCCGAGAAAAAGAATGGTCTCTGGTCTGGAGATGGGCAAAACCCTCATCCATGTTAGCTTAGGTTTTTCTCTATTAGATCTCAGGAGGTCATAAGCCCATGCCCTGCACCCAACCTGAAGACTGTGGACCCTTCTAGTAGGAATCTTACAAAACAGCTCAAATGAGCTGGGCTCTTAACCAAAGAGGTTGTAGAGTTAGGGTTCTGAAAAGGTGAGAGCAGAGGCCTATGGTCCCCTGGTGAGCAATGCTGGATGTTATCTGTCTTCCCATTACCCTACAGCTCAGCTACGTTCCATCTAACAGGTGAGAGGTGGCCCCCTGGGTATTGGACAGAGGTCCTTGGTACTAGGAACAGGCATTCCTACTAGAATTTCTGTCTTAAGTCCTCCTGGGTTAGCTTTAGACTCAGATGAAATATGGACCCTCTCCCAGTCCTCCTCCCTCCCTTGCAAGTACTCGGGTGTTGTTGGGTTGGGTAGAAGACCACCTGCTCAGCTCCTATGTGCTCTCTGCTCGGTCCACGGCAGAGTCTGCTTTCTCCTGTAGCCTTTGGGTTTGGCACTGAGTACCTGGTTCGCTTTGAAGAGCAAGGTCTGGGGCTGCAGTGGAGCAACATTGCGAACAGTCCCATGGAAGGGGATGAATTCAGCTTCCTGCTCTCCATGAAGATGATGCTCCTTGATGCTGCTCTGTATGGCTTGCTTGCTTGGTACCTGGACCAGGTGTTCCCAGGTGAGTGGCTCCCCCAAAAGAGTAAAGGTAGTCAAGTTCTTAAAATCACCACAACACTCCTCTAGTATCAAAATCATCCTTCCGGTGCTGTTTGAATTTTCTTTCTCAGAGCCAACATTTGGCATTTAAATGCAGCAGTCATAAATCCAGCAGCTAGTCCTGCTACTGAAGTGGACCATAGTCTGATCCCTTGTCCCCTCCTCCACCACGACCTTCCCAGGCCAAGTCTCTTTCACTCTCACATCATCACTATTTTCACAGCAATCTTTTCAGAATCGAGGTCGGATGGTGCCAGCCCTCTCTGTACAAATCCGTAGGCTTGATTTTTCAATCAGTGATTCAATCTTGGCCTGCAGGATGCTTCACTATTGAGACTCAACTCTTCCTCATCTCATGTCCTTCCCATCTCCATGTCCCCCTGTTCCAGCCACATCAACCTCTTCACTAAGCGTATGCCACCCAAGTACCCTTCCTCTGCAGGCCCTCGGGAACCCATGCTTCTCACAGAGCAGTGATCCATGCCCCACCCCCACCTACCTGCCTACTTGCTTCTGCATTTTGTCTGAGTCTGTGTCCCAAAGTCACCTTACTATGGGGGTCTTTCCAGGTGAAAGGTATCTAGATATACACTGCTGTATAAGCTACATAGCTCACGTGCCCCTGGGCCTTCCTTTCCTTTACTTTGTAGATGCTTATCACCACCTGACAGATCTTTATGTGTGTGGTCATTGACTCTGCCCTGTGAAGCTGGACCCATGGAAGCAGACAGCTGTTCTGTTCTGTTCACTGTGCTAGTTCCAGTGCCCATATTAAATTAATCTATAGCATAACAAATACGTTCCTGGATCAAAATGAGTTCTTTGTCCAGCTTTGCATTTACTTTGTTGAAAATCAGATACTCCTGCAAATTAGCATTTCCTGGAAGCTGGAGAAGCCCATCTCCATGTGAGTGGTCTCTCCGGTCAACCAGTAGCCTCTTTGTCCTATGGTTGTTCACCAGCCCCAAGTCATCTGAATCTTGTTGTTCCAGGGTTTTTATAATACAGTCTCCAGCTCCTCTTCCTTCCCCAGACCATGGAGGTGAGACTGATAGTTCTTCTCTTAGAAGTTTCCTCTTTCTGGTGTACAGATCTTCTCTGAAGCTCTCTCGAGGCCCCACCCTGAATTCCATCTTTAGCATAAACTTGAGTGTAAGGACATAGAGGCACATCACAGTTAACAAAGAGTAGGCCTTCTATTCTGGAAATGTCAAGGGTTTATACCTGTGCCCTGAATGGAACTGAGACACCAAACTAGGTATGGTTTGTTATACCCCCAACATGTATGTTTGAAGAAGGGCACTGTTCAGCCATGACAATAACCTTGAGCAATATACTTGAACTATCTCAGTCTGGATTTTTTTTCATATGTCTCTGGGCTACAAGAAAAAGATACAATAAGTGAAAATTAATTGGATTTGAATTGAAGTTTGTGAGTAATTCAAGAGCTTCATTTTATCCTACTTGACTTCCATTTCTTCCATAAATATTTACTGTGCAGCCCCATGTGTGAGGGTCAGCAGGGTCAGGTTCTAGGAATAGAGGGATGAAAAAGATACACCCAGGCCTGCCCTCAGGTATGTGGGGTCCAGGAGCAACAAAGACATAGACACACGTGACAAGTATTTGAAAAGCATAGACAGCATGATCACGAAACCACTTTTGGAGGCAGCAAAGCATGCAAAGGGGGTCTTCTTCAACTGGGAGTGAAAAGCATTAGAATAGCAATGTGAGAACCTGATTCCCTGAGCTGGAATTGCCATGTGTCTACTCCATTCACTAGCTGTGACTTGGGACAGATGGCTCCAAGTCAGGGTAACATGGTTTTTTCCTTCACCAGAATAGTATGAAACCTATTTCCTAGAGTTGTTTTGAGGATTAAATCACATAACACATGGCAAGCTCTTACAGCCACGCCTGTCACAGAATGAGCATCCAACAAATGGTAGTGATTATCGTTGTTATCATTATCTGGCAAGTGCTGACAAAGACCATGATTTAATTCTTTAATAAAATATTTTCTTGGAAAACTGATGTCAACCCAGATCATCAGTCTTGGTATTTTTGGTAACACCCAAAAACACATGACCTTTTGGGTTAAAATGTGTTGGGAAGAGTGGTCTTTATGGTAGCAAGGGAAGGCCCCCTGACGGTCCATGAGGCATAAAGTGATAGTTAGCGTTCAAGGTTTAGATTAACAGAATCTACAGCTTGTAGAACTCTGGTAGGTTGGGGTGGGGAGATGCCTTGGGCTTTTTCTCATTATTTGCCTGTTTACTTTTAGGAGACTATGGCACCCCACTTCCTTGGTACTTCCTTCTACAAGAGTCCTATTGGCTTGGTGGTGAAGGTGAGTTATTTAAAAGTTCAAAACCAAACCCCTTCATATCTGAAATCAGCTCCTGGAGCCAGGAGCAGGGTTTGTGTGGGTTGTGGTGTGGCCATTCATCTCAGGGTGTTGTTCTCAGTCAGTCAGCTGCTTCCAGGACGCTCTGCCCTTTCCATGCTGGGAGCCCATCTTTCATGAATCTCTGGACCAAAGTCAGTGACTGAGAGTGGAAAGATCCGTGGATCCTGAACAACTCGTCCCTTTGGATTCAGTTGCCCCATGAAGAGAAGGCCAAAGCACTATCAGGTTGCTCATGATCTGTGGCAACTTCTTGGATTAAAGCTGAGATCAGGGGAATCCCATGATACCCTGCCTTCATCCGCTGCTTTTGGATTCCTCTCCACCTTTTGGAAATAGACATTAATGCACTCTCCCATGGCAAAGAAGCAGCCAGAGAAAGAGGCAGCGCTATTGGCCTTCAAGACAAATTCTCCTGGGTGTTCCAGTGGTATCGCTCTTTCTTGAAGCTTGCAGGGAGAAGGTTGAGGGCGATTGCTCACAGTGCATCTGGGATTAAATTTGCCTCCCCTACTGAACAAGATAAGGAGTCTGGGGGAGAGTCCTACAAGTGAGTGGAAGCACACAAATTCTGAGATGGGGCTGTCTCAGAGCCAGGAGATTCTGAACCAAAGGAAACATTTTATGCTCCATGGCTCACCCACCTGCTCCTTGCTTTGCATCCTTGGGCCTGGGCCAGGATTGAGCCTTTAAACCCTGAGATGGTTGTTTGTTTTCTCCAGGGGATTCGTCTAGGGCTTCAAAAGACTTGAGCAGTTGTTTGGATTTTTGCTTTTGATGGTTCAAACAAACAGCTTTTCAGCAGTCCAGTGTTTTTCCATTCTACTAGTTTGTCTGCAGTATCTATGAATCTTTAAATCACTATAAGAAAGCTATCCCTCTGTCACCAGGGAGAATTTGCAAAACGGGAATGTGTTCAGGGAACATTTTGATGCCAAGCAACGATGGGGCCTGATGGTTATCTTCCACCCTCTACCATCCCAACAAATATTCAGTTTCTCAAAAAGACAAGAAAAAAATCTGAAGACAAATGTACAAAGTGAATCGCAGACACTGCAGCCAACCACAGCTAAATAGTTGCTACCTGCCTCATGGGCTAGATGGAGAGAGATCCTGAGACTCAGAAATCAGCAAGAGTGGAGTTTCTCTCCTCCCTGCCCCTCCTTTCATGAAGGAGGAATGGAAAACCAGAAGGCATCGGGGTCTCACACAGGTGCATGGCAGAAAATCTAGAACTTGGATTCATTTCCTGGGGATAGCCTCACTCTGGTAGCTAAGCTATTTAGCTGGGCATTTCCCCTTGCCATTTTAAGACACGTGTGTGTGGGATGAGAACTGGTAAGGCCGTCAAAGGAGTTGAGGGGAGCAGAGGTGGACATTCTAAAGGTGGTCTCTCCCTAACCAGCAGACCCTTGGCACCTCTTGCAAAACCAGGAAAAGCAAAGAGGCCCTGCTGGTTGCCTCAGCTCCAGCAACCTGGCCCTGTTTACACAGGTGCATTTGAGACCAGTCCCTTGAGAGGCGAGGCGACAGTGGCTTCCTCCAGTGCCTGCTTCCTCTGTAGCTGCTTGGCTGTACTGTTGCTCTTCCCCTTCCGGGATGTCTTGATGTCCTTTCCAACCAAATTGTGTGTGTGTGTGTGTGTGTGTGTGTGTGTGTGTGTGTGTGTGTGTGTCTATGTGTGTACGTGTATGCATGTGTGTCTATGTGTGTGTATGTATGTGCATGTGTGTGTTTGTACACTTACAGGTGGGTGGTGTGGGTCCACACCACATACCAAATTTGTCCAGGCCTGTACCCCCAGCAGGCTCCACCTCCATGTTAACCCCAAGACCCTTGAATGCCCATTAGGTGGGCTATTCAGGTAAGCCCTCTCTCCAGCTGCCTATCAGAAAGCCTGTAGCCGACTTCCACTCAATGCCCACCGTGACCTTGACATGCTTAGAACTGGGGTGGAAAGGCCTTGGTGATGGGCCAAAGGAAATGAACTCACTTCAAATTCAGCCTGAGTTGTGTTCATTCTTTTCCTATCACAATTTCTGACATTGTGGGCCTCCCCTGGCACATTAGGAGAATGAGGCGAAACTCTCAAGTCTGGCGCTCTTGTTACAAAACTCCCTCTGGGTGGGGCACAGATTGCACAATCCTGCTGGAGTGCTTTCCCATCTCCAGGCAGGTTAGAGGCTGGGGCAGGTGGGGAAGGGGCGTGGGGGAGCGTGGCAGTGTCGCTGCTTGGAGGCTGATCTCCTGGGGGCCGTGGACTTGACCTCCCAGGGACAGCGTCTTCCCCCTGCAGTGCAAAACCCACTAGCGACTCTCCTTCTCAGCCCTCCTCGCCTGCCTTCTCCGATTCTCAGCTGTCACTTGGAGAGTAACATTGGCTTCTGGTCGGCACAGGGTGTTCAACCAGAGAGGAAAGAGCCCTGGAAAAGACAGAGCCCATCACAGAGGAGATGGAAGATCCGGGACACCCAGGAGGAACAAAAGGTAAAACCCTAAGAGTCCAGAGCTGAAGCAAGGAGAAGGGCCCTGATCCACCACCCCGCCCAGGATCGGGCCAACCCCCCCCCACCCCCCAGGACCGGGCCAACCCCCTCCACCACCCCCAGGACCGGGCCAACCCCCTCCACCCCCAGGACCGGGCCAACCCCCTCCACCACCCCCAGGACTGGGCCAACCCCCCCACCCCCCAGGACCGGGCCAACTCCCTCCACCCCCCAGGACCGGGCCAACCCCCTCCACCCCCCAGGACCGGGCCAACCCCCTCATGCCAAGGGTGACCGAGTGAAACCGGCCTTGGGGGGCCAGCGCGGAGCCTGAGTCCGCCGCTGAGGGTCCAGCCGCACATGCGCAGATGGAAGGGCCCAGGCCAGACGTGAACACATATTTCCTGGAGCATGTGGTATGTTTGTGCCCTTGTTAGGCAAATCCCCAGCGAGTCCCACAAACGTTCTGACTTCCGAGGATTTAGCAAGAACAATAACTGGGGTCACTGCGACTCAAAGCGGATATGAGCTTCAAGGAAAGACAAAAATAAATGCTTCTGTGTACCAGGGCTGCTGCTGACCCTTCACTCACGGTTTACAAATCTAGAAGTCATTCATTCGAATCATCAGAAGGCTTTCCTGACAATGTGGGTTACCTCATCGGTCCTGAATTGATGCACCAGCCAACAAGGGCTGTTCCCGTGGCTGTTACCAAAGCCCTGCCCTTCCCTCTAGTTCTGTATTTATCCTCAGGGTTTTCATTCTATAAGCATATGTGTTGCTCCAAGAATGCCAACATGCTCTAGGTTTAGAGAGGCACCTGGTCGCTGGTCTTGGCCTGACCTTGCATAAGAGTGCGTGGCCTCTCGCCGCTCAGGTGCTGCTTCAGAGCTCCTCCCAGGGCAGGTGGGCAGGTAGCAGGTGCTTCAAGAAGCCTCTCCTCCAGGAGGAAAGTGACAAGGATGCCACAGGGAATGGGGAACAGTCCATCTCAGCCACAGGCAAGGCAAGGAAGTACACAAAGAAGCAAGACAAAGGAGTCCACAGACACACACACACACAAACCTGGGGGTAAAGCTCAGAACTTAAAGATTGAGGTAACACAATTGTGACAGTCAAGGTGATTAGATATAGAAGAGTCTGGGAGCCAGGGAGAGTGGAGACTGTGTTATGAGGGTCTGTCTCAGATGGGGTATGGACCAGAAACGACAGGGTGGGCTGAGTCTTGAAGGTCAGTGATGAGAAAGAATGGACTGTCCTCACCCAGGTCATTGGCAAACTCTGGAATCCTGATGGGCAAGAAGTCTGTTTTAGTGGAAGTTGACTCAGACTCAAGCTAAGGTTATGGGGCAAAGGGTGGTGCCAGGAATGGACTTGAGTCTGAAGGAAAAGGTGGTGTGGGGGAGACAAGGAGCCTGCACTGCTGCCAGAAATGCAGGAAAAATCCCCCAGCATCCTATGAGAAACGAGCACAGAGCTAACTCCCCACAGGCAGTAGGATGAGCGTGTACTCAGGTTTTGCATCCCCACTCTGCCACTTGGAAGTTGTGTGACTTTGAAAGATCATCCTACAGAAATGAACGTAATAATACCATCTCATAGATCAGGCCTGGAAAGCACCAGGAACAGGGCCCAACACGTAGTATGTGCTAAATAAAACACTTGATGCTCTTGCCATGACCACTGCTATAAAGTTTGCCTTACAGGGAGCATGGCTGAAGCCACGGGGGGCAGGAAACCCGAAAGGCAGGAGAGAATGGTTTAAAGGAAGAGCCGTGGGGAGAGTGTCCATGAAAGCCTCGTGTGTATCATGCCCTCATTCATTCCCTCCCAGACTCCTTCTTTGAACGTGAGCATCCAGGCTTGGTTCCTGGGGTGTGTGTGAAGAACCTGGTGAAGGTTTTTGAGCCCTTTGGCCGGCCAGCTGTGGACTGCCTTAACATCACCTTCTATGAGAACCAGATCACTGCCTTCCTTGGGCACAACGGAGCCGGGAAGACCACCACCTTGTGAGTGCTATGCCCAGGAGGCTGCGAGTCAGCCATGCCCACCCTCACTCCCTGGCTTCACTCCTTCCCAGTTTGTCACAGTCCCTTCTTCATAAGAATTGGTATGGGGGGAAAATTGCACTGTACACTTGGGGTTCCAAGAATGTGTCAAGCCACTCAGTGCAGAAAGCTCCTGACACAGACGGCTGTGTTTGACACTTGCTGGAAGCCCGGGGAGTGGGGGCGAGCACTGTGGCCAAGAAAGAAACCATCCCTTAGGACAATAGCACCCCATATTGGAGGACCAGGGTCTGCATCCCTTCTCTGCTTCTGGTCCAGCTTCCTGTTCATGTATACTCTAGGAGACAGCAGTCGTTGGCCCAAGTACTTGGTTCCTATGACCCGGATGGGAGACTAGGATGGAGTTCCAGGTTCCCAGCTTCAGTCTGGCCCAGCCTTAGCTATTTAGCTGTTGCAGACATTCACAGAGTAAACCAGTAGATGAAAGAGTCTTTCTTCTTCTCTCATGTGCATGTGTTCACATACACACACACCACATTGCCTTTCAAAGATATAAATCAATACATCTTCAAAGAAGCCCAATAGGGAGGTGGCATTAGTTTATTGCCCCTTTGGTGGATGCTATGGAAGTTTCCCAAGTCCGCCAAAGTGGAGTGGTTCAGAGAAGGCACGAGTTCAGTCCTCCCAGAACAGCTGCCTCTAACTTTTGACACTTGAGACTTTACCCCCTCCCCCGGCCTCTCCAGGGTTTGTGTTCCCCATGGGGACAACAAAGCCATGGCCATCCTCACCACAACCCTCACCCCCACCTAACTGGGATACTACTGAGTATTAATAAGCATTGTTTTCCCCACCAATTACTTTGCATAGGGCTCCTGGTGGGTTGTTTGAGGTTATAGAGAAAGTAAAAAGAAGGCCCTGTAGGGGAAGCAGCCTATCTGCTAAGGCCAAGTTCAGGGAAGACCAAGGGCTCCTCATGCACCTCGCAGGCCAGAAGGCTCCCACGTTTCTCCAAGCAGCAAAGCGCCACCCGTGGAGAGGAGAATGAGCCTCAGTTTTCCACAGGGAAAGGCAGCCTCAGGGTCATCTGGAGCCGCCAGCCACATGATCCCAGCCCAGGAGGCTCTTGGCTCCTCGCAGAGCCCCAGGAAGGAACAGCAGTGTCCACCCTGCACTGGAATGTGCTCGGGCGCCTTGCCCTGCAACTGGAATGTGGGGCTGCTGCCATTGCATTTGGTTCTGTTTCCCTCTAGTGGTTGACCAACAGGGGATTTCGGCTTCTAAAATACAGCTAGCAGGGAGAGCAGGGTGTGGCAGCTGCAGAGCCAGCGGATTTCTCTGCGTGGTAACCACGCTGGGTAGAGCCCCAGACTGTACATAGGGCTCCTCAGTGCAAATCCACGACCTCATCAACTGCTGGAATATAGCTTGCCCTGGAAGCACCAAGGTTTTTGTTCATTTGTTTTATTGGAAAGGTAGATTTACAGAGAGAAGGAGAGACAGAGGACCATCTTCCATCTACTGGTTCACTCTCCAAGTGGCCACAATGGTCAAAGCTGAGCTGATCCAAAACCAGGAGTCAGGAGCTTCTTCTGGATCTCTCACGTGGGCTTTGGGACATCCTCAACTGCTTTCCCAGAGCACAAGCAGGGAGCTGGATGGAAAGTGGAGCAGCCAGGACATGAATTTCACACCCACATGGGAAGGATTTAGCCACTAAGACATTGCGCGCCGGAGCTTGAAGCACAAAACTAACTGGGTCTGGCGATAAAGTGTGACCTTTATGTTGGTGCTGTCCTAAGTGCCCCACCCCTTCTAGCTTGTTTATTTTATATTTTACAAAAGAAACCCAGTGCCTCAATTGGATGCTCTGTGCTTTGAATCTAATGATGCACGTGGGGTGGTAACTGCCCTGCCTGTGTTCCAGCAGCCAGTCAATAAATGCCCAGTGAATGCCCAGAGGTGCTTCTCAATATGGCTTTGTCGTGGCGGCGTTGGGCTCTTCAACACCCATCAACTGCTTGCCTAGCAGACATGGCACTGGGCTAGATTCTGTGATGACTGCATTGGGAGCCATTTGTGCTGCAGCTCAGGACTTGCCTTGGACCACTGGGAGTTAAGTAGAAGCAGGGAGGAATAGTAGATGTGATCTCCTGCTTTGGGGCCTGGATGGATACATAGTGGCCAAGCCCTGAGTGGGGAAACTTGGGGAAGGGTTACAGCCTGCAGTTGATTCAGAGCCGTCATCAGTGGTCCCTGTGGGTGTCTTCTCTGACCTTGATGCAGTCCTCAAGACTATCTCTTCTGCCACCACTCTTGGGTTTGGCAGGTCCATCCTGACGGGTCTGTTGCCACCAACATCGGGGACGGTGCTCGTTGGGGGGAAGGACATTGAAACCAGCCTGGATGCCATCCGGCAGAGCCTCGGGATGTGTCCACAGCACAACATCCTCTTCCATCAGTGAGTCAAACAGGAACTCAGGTGCCCATTTTGCTCAACCCCTGCCCCCAACGCAGCCTCCTCCACAGCTCGGCTAGAGACGTCAGCTCTGGGCCCAGGTGTAGACACTCCTGTGTGGGTTGCCCCATAGTCCAGGTCAAGGTCCTTTGTCCTGCTGGCAATGAGAACTGTCCTTCAGAATGTGGCACCTCTGGTGCCCAGAACAGAGGTCCCCTCCTTCCAAGGAGGTGCCACCTTCTCCCTGACACAGCAGCCATTGCCAGGTCCCTGGGCTCAGCCTGAAACACCCCCAATCAGGCATCAGAGAGGGAAGTCGTTTGCTTTCTCCCTTGGATGTCACAGTACTGAAGACTTGCTTTTCCAGAAGCTTCTCAGTGCTTTTTTCTCACTAAAATCTCTGATTGCTTCTTCAAAAAAAAAAATCTATGTGTGGTCACTGTGATAAAGAGACGGGGAGGGAGGGAAGAAGTCAACAGAAGGAATAAAAGCCACCTATGATTTCACCACTCAGAGAGAAACAATATGAACCTCTAGTCTAATTTTTAGAACTCTCTCGAAAGTGTATAGACATGCGTATTTTTATTATCAAGGAGAATAAACCTTTGCCTATAAATTTGTCACCCAGTATTTTTTAATGTTATTGCTTTCTTTTTAACCGAGGCCGCCATGTCATTACACATTGTTCCATAAACTGTTGACTGTTTCCAGGTGCTGCTATTGTGTGAATGAACTGCATAGCTGTCCTGTTAGCTAGTGAGTCATGTCCATTGTCAAACACACCATGCTGGTATACTGGTGGCTACAAAGCCAGCTCTCCTCTCCACTCTGTGTGATGGGTCGCTGGAGGTGGCATCGCTGAGTGCTTGCTCTCCCTGGTCCCCTCCAACCTCCACAGCCTCACAGTGGCAGAGCACATCCTGTTCTATGCACAACTGAAGGGGAGGTCCTGGGAGGAGGCCCAGCTGGAGATGGAAGCCATGCTAGAGGACACAGGCCTCCACCACAAGAGGAACGAGGAAGCCCAAGATCTCTCAGGTGCCTGGGGCTGGGCCAAGTCAGGGCTGCAGATGGCAAAGTGTTCCAGGCCCCAAGAGGCAGGAACACACAGAACATAGAGGGGCTCCTGCCATCTGGACTGCCCTAAGCGATTGTTCTGAAACTCACAGAGCAGCCCACCAATGGGCTCTGTCCCATACAGAGCTCTGTCTCCAGAGGCCTGGCCCTCGTTGGTGGGTTTGGTTCCAAAGGCCTTCGAATGGCCGGGTCCCTGAAAGCAAGTGCTACCCTGCTATGAGCAAGACCTGGTGACCACCGGGGCTCTGGACACTGGATCTGCAGTGAAGGAGGCAGTACAGCTGTTCCCAGTCTCCAGGCACTGCCCTGTTCTACTGCCAGCCCCAACTCTCTCTCCTCTGTCCGCCAAGGCCCTGTGACACCTCCTCCCACTCCCCCCGGGCTCCCTGTGCTTTCCAGGTGGCATGCAGAGGAAGCTGTCCGTCGCCATTGCCTTTGTGGGAGAGGCTAAGGTGGTTGTCCTGGACGAGCCCACCTCTGGGGTGGACCCCTACTCTAGACGCTCCATCTGGGATCTGCTCCTGAAATACCGCCCAGGTGACAGCCATGGCCCAGCACCCCATGCTCCTTCTGCAGGCTTCCCTGTGGGCACCATTCCCACCCCTGGCATCTGGCACAACACTCAGCTGGGGCTTCATTCGTGACTCTGCATTCAAGTTCAGGCCTCCTAGAATTTGCATACAAATATGAACAGGGAATCATTGAAGGTTCAACCCACCATCCAGAACATTCTATAAAGTTCTATCAACTTGTAGTGTGTGCCTCTGTTTGAAGCAATGGGTGCAGTACTAGGAGAAATTTCCTTTTCAGCATGGAGCAGGAGGGGATTCAAGTCAGCTAAACCCATCCTGGAAAGTCATGGGATGGCTGCGGGACCACTGTCAGGTACTCGGCAATCAATGGTTTCGGTACTGCCTCTGAAGGAAGTATCTAAAAACGTACGGTGTCTCTATCATGGCACCTCTCAGACAGAGCCCTCTGACCTGGAGGGAATAGCACACTGCTCCGAGTGCTCAGCCCCATAGACGCTCCCCTCCCTCTACTGCTCAAGGTCCCCTGTGCCTTTCCCTGGTGGCTGTAATGCCAGTTCCTCCTTGCCAGTGTCCTCTCATGACATCTCCAGGTCATGTGAGCTTGTGTGTGCATGTGTGTGAGCATGTGTGTGTGTGTGCGTGCACGTATGTTCCTTCCAAAGACTGTCATTGCAGTGTTGGGTAAGCCAGAGAACATACAGCACATAGGGAATCCAGGAGCTGCTGAGTGAACCGCACAAGGGGCCCCATGTGGCGGCACACTAGAACCCGAGCCTGTGCTTGATGCAGGCCATGGCGCTCTGTGGTAGGCCCTGTGCTGTGAATTTGGTTCTTGTCATTATCTTAAATCCCCCAGGATGAGCCTGCAGAAGCAGCTCTTCCCTGCCCCTCCCCCCAGTCTCTATGATTGCACAGCCGAGCATCCTCCACCTAGCGCCCCTGGCCCAGGCCCGGCTGGTGATTCCCGATCTTTCCCCGCCTCTCCTCCAGGCAGGACCATCATCATGTCCACTCACCATATGGACGAGGCAGACCTTCTTGGGGACCGCATCGCCATCATCTCCCAAGGGAGGCTCTACTGCTCAGGCACGCCCCTCTTCCTCAAGAACTGCCTCGGCACGGGCTTCTACTTGACTTTGGTGCGCAGGATGAAGACCATGCAGAGCCAAGGCGGCTGCTGTGAGGTACCTGCCTGTCTGGATGGTGAGGGGGAGGAGCATGGAGCCTGCCATAGTGAGGCTGACCTTGTCATCAGACCTGGCTTGCTTCTGACACCACCTGCTGGCACTTTGTTACAGAGTTACTGATTTTTATTGGAAAGGCCGATTTACAGAGAGGAGAGGCAGGGAGAAAGATCTTCTATCTCCTAGTTCACTCCCCAAATGGCTGCAATGGCCAGAACTGAGCTGATCTGAAGCCAGGAGCTTCTTCCAGGTCTCCCACGTGGGTGCAGGGACCCAAGGGCTTGGGCTTTTCTCGGCTGCTTTCCCAGGCCACAGGCAGGGAACCAGATGGGGAATGGAACAGCTGGGACACGAACTAGCACCCCTTTGGTATGTCAGTGTTTGCAGGTAGAGGGTTTGCCAATTGAGCCATCATGTGCAGGCATTCCCAACCATGCCACAGAGAGGTTTCATCCCAGCTGACACCACTCATAGTCAACTACTAACATATGTCAGTATCCCAAGTCACATGAGTGGTTATGGACAGCATAGGAAAGCGGCTCATTTTGCGAGGGTAGACTGCTTGGGGTGCACTAAGGCGTCCCCCATTCCATTGCCATCATCCATGCTCAGCTTGCAACACTGCTGCAGCGTTCACGCTTCTAGCTGGGAAGTGTCGAGCATTACCCTCGTACTTCCTGACCGGTGAGATGTTCCACAGCGTGTGTGCACGCACAGGAAGGGGGCGGTACCATGCCTGCTCGCACAGGGCAGCCCGCAGCTGTCTCACGGTCATCAACAAGTCCAAGGAATCTTGGAAGTTGTGTCCCCTCACTGTGTCTGACTCCTACATCCCTCCAGGATGGAATCAAGCCGTTACATCCTCAAAGGCTCAGAGGAGTCAGTGGATGAAACAGGGGTGAAACATGCGGGGACCGCACTGGGCAGTGAGAAACCAAGTGGGTGGTGACAGCCGAGGCATAGGGGAATTGAGATGATTGAAGTCACTTAGAGCTTATCAACCATTCCTGTTCATCTGCCATAGGCCACCTGCCGCTGTGCATCCAGGGGCGTCTCCCGCAGGTGTTCGGCCCGCAACAACGAGATGGCCTTTGATCAAACACTGGATGGTGAGGGCCGGAACGCAGCATGCTGACTGTGTTTTCTGATGTGTCTGTCCTACCCTGTGGCGTCCCTAATAGGAGCAAAAAACACGCGCTGTGTACTCCTCAGGCTGTCAGTCACACTGCTGCCCATCTTCGAACTTTTTTCTCTTCTTCCTTCCTCCAGTTCCAATTGGATTTTGAAAGGCCTGCACGGTGCTTCTTTTAAGTAAGGGACCTCTCAGGTCACTCTATGCTTTAATCACATTAACCCTCATTCCGGGAGTCCTCCTTAGAGTCATTTCTAAATGTACGCCACAGCGCCTCCTGGCGGAGCCATGGCAAAATTCATGGGAATTTAGCATGCGTCTCGGTAATATCACACACTCCTCACTCTCCCTCCGGCTCCATTTTCCAGTGGTCCTCCCTGGAGGAAAGGTGCTCCCATCACCCGTTACTGCCCACCTCGGCACACGCCTATTGGGTATTTTAGTAAATAGAATGGGGCTCACACTGTAATTCAACAAAGAAGCAAAACTAAGCTTGTGTGCAGACCCCAGTCAACACAGATGCCAGCACTTCAAAACTAACATAAAAATTTCTCCAACAGTTTTGAATTCCACTCATAGCTTTTTTCATAATATACATTTCTCTTATCTTTTTGAAGACTTTGTGTGCGCATGAATTTTAAACAATTTTTGCACCAAAATAGACTTGTCTTTTAATTCCCCTTTCCAAGAACTTTTCAGAAGTACCATCATCTTCTTCTTATCAAAGAAACAAGTTTCCACCCAGCATAGATCATTCCTAAATCTGAAGAATTTGCTAGTTGAAATTGGGTGAAATGAGGGTGCTGGACTGTGTTTAAAATCCAAGGGCAGCAGTTGCATTTGTCCCCCTCTCTCACAGAAGATGTGGTGAACAAGAGAAAAAAGCATCTTTTCAGAATATTTCAGTGTCCTTTGCCTCTTTTGCTCTTCTGCTTTTCTCCCACAGAAATCATGATTAAGAAACCTCTGTTTTTTTCTTTTTTTTAAAATTTTTACTACTGTGTTTCACCACTATGGTCCATCGAAATCAAGCTGGGTAAAGCCTGTTGTGGTGTCTTTTAGATGTTACTTCATTTCTTTAAGGAGAGTTTTGTTGTGTAGGATAAGTACGCTGAGGCTGGGAGGCAGTGTGGTTCAGTGGTTATAGCCCAAGCAAGCGAGGGAATTCATTGTGGTCCCAAGTCCACTCTGGGGAAGGCTTGTGGTTGATATGCGCCACCGACCACACACACACACGCATACACGCATACACACTTGCTTGCTCAGCCACTGGAAGCCCTCCTGACCTCCAGGGCTCCTTCTGGAAAGGCCGACCCATGTCTAAGACACAATTCCTGGGAAGCCAGCAGCTGTGGGTTTGTTTCCTTCCTCGGAGAACAATGAACATGACCCCTGGAGGGCTGTTAGGGCAGATCCCGCTTCCTCATGGCGAGAACTTTCCACCCTCCAAATGAAGTCATCTCAGAACCAGACAATCAACTCTGATATACAGGTTTGACACAAGACACAGGTCCCAGCCTGGCTGAGCAGAGGCGCTGTGAGGGACAGCCATGGAATCCCTTCTCACGGATCATTTTTCAAAACCAAAACCCAAAAATAGTCCAGTGGGTCATTCTGATTCTGTCCAAGACAACTGCTTTTGAAAGACTTGTGTTTTTTTTTAAGATTTATTTATTTATTTTTATTGGAAAGGCAGATCAGATTTACGGGTAGAAGGAAAGACAGAGAGAAACATCTTTAACCCACTGATTCACTCCCCAAATGGCTGCAATGGCTGGAGCTGAGCTGAGCTGAGTCAGTTGAACAGATCCAAAGCCAGGAGCTTCTTCTGGGTCTCCCACGTGGGTGAAGGGTCTCAAGAACTTGGGCCATCCTCTATTGCTTTCCCAGGCCACAAGCAGGAAGCTGGATGAGAAATTGAGCAGCCAGGACATGAACCGGCGCCCATAAGGAATCCCAGCACTGTAAGGCAAAGGTTTAGCCACTGAGCCATCGTGCCTGCACCCCTTGAACTTTGTCTTGAGTTTCCAGCACTCTTTTCCTCTAACATGTTGCTCATAATAACGTACAAGGGAAATGTCTCCTCGAGTGCAGGAATCAATGTTTTGCAAATACTCTATGCTGTGTCCAATTCCATTCCGGCTGTATGAGCACATTAGGTAAAAGCCTAGTGCCTGACATTGGCCCACCAGCCACATGCCACACTGCCTGCCCTCCTCCGGCCATGCTCCATGGCATCTCCACTCCCTTCTGCAGTTCCTGGGAGCTGTTTGGTTTAAGGACACAGGTGCCATCCTGAGGTGTTAGACCAGGCACAGGTGTGTGTCACTCAGCTTGGCCACCCATGACAGGCACGGGTTCCTAGGCCAGTTCCCAAAAGCTGGAACGAGACCAGGGAAATGAAAACAGCTTTGCAGGAGACTAATCAAGAGCAGTGCTGGTTATGAAGCCTCTATCAAAAAAAAAAAAATTCTTACTACTCTGATTCACTACTATGACTAAGACACAATTCCTGGGAAGCCAGCATTGTGAAGTGCTGAATGTATAGTAACTCATTCAGTCTCTGAACAACAATCAAGTGGGACTTATTACTTTTCCCTTGGCACAGATGAGGAAACTTGGCTATTTCCTGGCCAGTGTAACATAGACTGAGGGGGCAGAACCTGTGACTGAATAAAAAAGGAATCTGGCATGTCACATGGCCTCCCCAAGACAGCAGAGCATGGTGGGACAGGTGGTGGCAGTGGGGCTCCTTCTCCTTCCTCCTTCAGGAGCCAGTGCAGGGCCAGCTAAGCCAAAACTGCACAGGTCAATCCTGTGCAAAAGAGTCACTGCTGAATCATAAATGGAGAGGTGGCGGAGGCTGGCCCACCAGAGCCATGGCCCCATCTTCCAGCTTGTGGAAGACAGTTGGTGTTGATCTTCTTTCTTGCCCTAGGGGATGTGGATGAGCTGGTGGACGTGGTTTGCCACCACGTTCCAGAGGCCAAGCTGGTGGAATGCATCGGTCAAGAGCTGATCTTCCTGCTTCCAAATAAGAATTTCAAGCAGAGAGCATATGCCAGCCTCTTCCGAGAACTGGAGGAGACGCTGGCTGACCTGGGGCTCAGCAGCTTTGGAATTTCTGACACTCCCCTGGAAGAGGTAAGGCAGTGGGCTGGCTTCTCTCAGGTGCTGGAGAGGCAGTCGGCACGATGCCATGACTCACCACCCACGTGCAGAAACTGCTCCGTTCGGAGGCTCACTGCCTCCTGCCTGTATCCCTGTGTATGCAGGCTTGACGTGGCTGTGGTCCCTGCATGCATACTTTTTGTCTTTGTAGAAGCCTATGTTCTTAGAGAGTCATCAGGCATTTTTATTTTCTCATTAGGAAACAGTCCCCATTGAGATGAAACTGGGTTAGATTTTTCTGCGAATAGGAATGCCCAGCTCAAATTCTCTGTTTTTTATTTTTTGACAGATTTTTCTGAAGGTCACAGAGGATGCTGATTCGGGCCTGTTTACTGGTATGGTACTTATAGGGGATAAGGGAAGGGGACCCTTACTTCACCCCCAAGCTCAAACCTCAGAGCAGGGAAAAGTTCTGCCAGAGCGGCTGATCTGCAAAGACGTGTGTCTTATTGACACAGGAGTGGCAAACTGGGTTACATCCAGATAGAAATATCCTGAAAGAATTAGGGTTCCTGCAGTGGTCATGTTGCCAGCCTGTCCTGGCGACTGCTCATCCTACATGCCTGGTCTTTTGTTCCTGCCATGTCGTCCTCCTCTTGTCCTCCTGTCCTCCCCACCTGACCACTCATTCATTCCTGTCTGCAGCAGTGACAACTGGCAATGCCCTTAAAGATAATGGTGACAATAAATATGACCCAGACGTTCAGCTAGAGTCTCCTGGCCCCTTTGAAATCAAGAGCAAATCTTGATGAACCCTCATCAAGTGGCCTGTGACCCTGGTGATGGTGGAGACCAAAATTCCTGTAGTTCCTTGAGGGTGACTGTGTCAGTCTCTGCACCCATGTCTCTACCCATTCCCTGAGGTAGGTCACCCGCTGATCCCAAAGAGGTGACCATCCTGGAGCAGAGTGGGTGGGGCCAGGAGCAACCCTCCTCTGGAGAATGGATGAGCAGCTCACACAGGGTCCGGGTTGAATTTCAAGCTTTGCAAACATGGGAAATGAATACTCATAGCTCCTTCAAAGCCAAAGATGTACATTAGCCAAGACCAAAATGAAAGCAGGCTAATCAATCACCAAAGCTAGGCTGGAGTCAAGAGGATTTTTTCTACACATAGAGTACTCGTTAACAATGAGGTTGGCTTGAGAGAGCAAGCTGACCTTGGAATGCTGTTAGGTCAGTGTGGGCAGGGAACAGGATGCTCCAATGGGACGGTCATGGGCAGAGGCCAAGACCAAGTGACACAGACTAGACCTCAAACCCAAGCCCCAAAATTTGCTAACTGAGTGACTGTAAGTAGTTAGTCTCTTTGTGCTTTTCAGAGCTACTGAGAGAATTAAATGAGTTCTTGAATGGCAGGTCTGAACGATCCTCCATATTTACAAATCGTCTCTTTCCTCAAAGTTGTACTGCCCTTTATGTAGCCCTTGACATCTGTTGTCTTGTTTGATCTTCACTGTAACCACACGAGACGAACAATGCAGGGGATCTACCCCACTTGGGGAGAATGAGCTCCCAGAGGTTGGAGAACTTGCCTAACACCACACAGGATTCTGGGTCTTTCTCTTTGGCCCTAGCCCTGCAGTCCAGGACCCTCAATCCCACGCTCCTCCTAATTCTCATTCTATACCTGGCTGAATGTATATGGGATTGGCTCAGTTCTAGAAGATGACCTTTTCTGATAATGTCCCCAATGTTTGGAGGAACCTGCAGCCAGTCAATGGGTCATATCTTGACCTGGAATCACACTTTACGAGAAAAGTCAATGTCATTTCTGCCAGTGACTCCTGGGGAGCAGCAGAAAGTAAAGGACAACCCATTGCTACTCAACAGGCCCAGAGTCACCATGTGATGGAGGAAAGGCCTACGGGGAACTGCAGAAGGAGGGCCAGCCACAGCAGATATCAACTTTGAGCCCAGTTCAGGAAAAGTATCTGGAGGACTGTGGCTGTAACACCAGGTGGCCATGGAACCTGCACAGCTTTTTCATCCCGCAGAGCGCGGGGCTGGGGTTTGTGGCTAGGGCTGGGGTTGGAGCTGTCTCTACCCAGGCCCTCTGGCATGTCATAGCTACTTGTGATTGTTAACACATTGGCTGAGCTAACTCAACTACACTTACAGCTGTCCTGGTCCTGGAGCACTTGAGGAAGGTTAAGAAAGCAGATGCAAAGTGGAGCAAGCATTTGTCCTAGTGGTTAAGCCACCAATTGGGATGCCCCCCTCCCATAGCAAAGTGTCCAAGTTCAATTCCCCACTCCGACTCATGGCTCCAGCTTCCTATCAGTACAGACCTTGGTAGGCAGCAGTGGTGGGTCAAGTAGTTGGGTCCCTGCCGCCCATGTGGAATATATGGGTTGCATTCCTGTGTGCTGGCTTCAGCCTGGTGTAACCCCAGCCATTGCTGAAATGTGGGGAATGAACCAGCATATAGGAATCCCTTGTGATGCTCTAGGAGATGATGGGATGCCCATATGCCATATCAGAGTGCCTGGGATGAGCCCAGGCTCCACGCTCCGGTCCCACTCTCCATTCTAATATCCCAGTAATGGCTAACGTACACCCTGGGAGACAATAGGTAATGATTAGCTATAGGTAATAGGTAGCTGGATTCCTGCCCCTGCCCTGGAGAGCCAGCTCACAGCTTTAAGAGTGGCCCAAGGCTGGCTGTTGTGGGTATTTGGGGTATGATCCAGAAGATGGTTGTTTGTCTCTCTGTTTTTCCAATCAAATAAGCAAGTTTTTAAAATATTTATTCATTTTTATTCGAAAGGCAGATTTTGACAGAGAGAAAGATCTTCCATCTGCTGGTTCACTCCCCAAGTGGCCACAATGGCCGAAGCTGAGCCAATTCAAAGCCAGAAGCCAGGAGCTTCCTTCAGGTCTCACATGCAGGTGCAGAGTCCCCACCGCTTTCCCAAGCCTCAGGAAGGGAGCTGGATGGGGAAATGCAGCAGTTGGGACACAACCAGTGGTCTATGGGACTGTGGCACTGCAACATGGAGGATTAACCAATTGAGCCATCATGCCGTCCACTGCCTCAGCCCCCTTTAAATAAGTAATTTTTTAAAGTTTCCAGGATCACCCCCCACACATACACCCGCAGTCTTCCAGGCTCTCAGTCTGCATCCGCGTCAGAGGTTCTGCAAGGCAGCCTTGCTGTGTGAACTGTGGCAGTGAACTGTGGCTCCACCCCGCCGGTGGGCAGGGCGTTATGCAGGTCATTCCCATGTGTTGCCTCCCTGGGTCCTCCAGTCTTGGGAAACATCCTCATTTTCACTTCACATACAAGAAAACACAGCTTCAGAAAGGCAGGGCAAGCGGCTCAAAGTTACGCACTCGTAAGAATCTGTTCCAAATCCAGGTCTCCTGACTCCCAGGCCCTGTGTCTTGCCACGGCTTCTAAGTTTTCTCTAAGAGCTAGCAAAGAGTTCCCCCCACCGTCCCCCACCCCCGCTGATGTTGGAGTTTACTTTTTCCAAGAAAACCAATGAGTGAATAAGAAGGGTCTTTTATAAAGTTCATGGGAAAAAGAAATATTATGTGGGCCTGGCATGGTAGCCTAGTGGCTAAAATCCTCGCCTTGCATGTGCCGGGATCCCATGTGGGTGACGGTTCATGTCCCAGTGGCCCCACTTCCCGTCCAGCTCCCTGCTTGTGGCCTGCGAAAGCAGTTGAGGACAGCCCAAAGCTTTTGGACCCTACACCCGTATGGGAGACCCTGAAGAGCTTCTGGGCTGCTGGCTTTGGATTGGCTCAGCTCTGTCCGTTGGGTCACTTGGGGAGTGAATCAGAGGACAGAAAATCTTCCTCTCTGTCTCTCTTCCTCTCTGTTATCTGACTTTCCAATAGAATAAATAAATAAATAAATCTTTAAAAACAGCAAAAAATGCATATTACACTTTGAATTAATCCTTTAATTTCATTTTCATGAACTTTTTTGAAGACCTTTCATACATTTCTTCTTATTATTTTTTTAAATCAATTTTCAAAGGCTGAAATTTCCTCCCCTGCCCCTGTTCAGCTGCCCAGGGTGACACCTGCTGAGAGCACTGACTTCCTGCTGAGCGTGGTCACTGCCATGGGCGGATGCAGAAGATGCAGCAGGTGTGGAATGGGGATGGGGGAGAATATTTTCCACAGCATTCATTCCATCTCCCCCACCAGGTGACCCTCAGCATAAAAGGGTGCCCGGCAGCCTACGGCATCCCGGTTTGGGTTCCAGCGAGAAGGCGGCAGCAGAGGGAGAGGCTGCCCAGGCCACAGCCCCCTCCGAGGACCCACCCTCCCCAGATCCTGAGGGCGTCGGTGTCCCTCTCAACAGGGGCACGCGACTCATCGTGCAGCAGGTGCAGGCGCTGTTGATCAAGCGCTTCCACCATGCTGTCCGCAGCCACAAGGACTTTCTGGCTCAGGTAACTGCAGGGTTGGGGCTGCCTCCAGGGCCTGTGTGGAAGCCAACGGGCCCAACATGCCAGGAGCAGCTTCTTCAGCAGAGTTACTGTGGTCTGGATACCCTCTTGCCCCCCACCTGTATTTTGACTCAGAAACATAACCTTTCTTCACAAGTCCTGGACCACACTATACCAAGAAAATAGAACAGCTGTGGGAAGCTCATGTCGTTTTTATATTTGCAGTGAAGGTGAAGCCATGTTTTCATTCATTTTTACAGTGACTCTACCCATCCAAGTCATGGTTCCCCTTGTTTCTTGTTGTTTTTTAATTAGAAAAAGAAACTCTTTCAATAATGGAGAGCAGCATGATTTGCTCTTTGAAGTGCCCTTCAACCTGTATGCAGCTATTCCTGCTTCTGTCAGAACATCCTGTTTTTTTTTACACATTTTGCCTGGGTACAGCTGTTGGTAGTGTTTCCTCTAGAAGTCTGACCCTCTTCCAAGGCCTGATGATGAGGCAGCAGGATAAGTGTGTAAAAGAATGAACCTGCGTGTGCATGTGTGTTTGCATGAGGGCATGGATATGTGAGTATGTGCAGGCATGCATATGTAACTGGGAGAGTATAGGCAAGTGTTCTTTTCTTATGCATGTTTTCATGTGTGTGATTGTATATGTGAGTTTGCATGTGTAATAGTTGGTATGTATGAATATGCATTTCTATCTGCATTGTGTGTGTGCATTGAGTGTGCATGTGTCAGTGTGTGCATGCACAGTGTTCTTGCATACATGTATATCATGGGACTGTGTGCACACGTGAGTATGTACTTGTATGTTATGGGACTGGGCTGCACATGAGTGCATTTGTATGGGGCTAATGTGTGAGTGTGCATACATGTTTATGCATGTGTGCATCTGGTGGGGCTTGCCTCTGTATGCATGCGCAAGCGATCTCACATGCTACAGTCCCCGTTTTGATCTTCTTTCCTGACAGATTGTTCTCCCAGCCACATTCGTGTGTCTGGCCCTGATGCTGTCCATCATTGTGCCTCCTTTTGGTGAATACCCCGCCTTGACCCTTCACCCCTGGATGTACGGGCAGCAGTACACCTTCTTCAGGTGCACAAACTCATCCCCAGAGCTCACGGTCCCCCTTAGTGCTGCGCCTCTAGGGAGAGCTAAAGCAGCTGCCACTACTGAGCTAGGGGAGCCATTGTGGACCACCAGGAAGCTTGGGAAAGGGAGCAAGGACAGAGGGTGCACTGTAGGGCCTCACAGGTACACCCTGCAGCCTGCTCCCATGCCCAGCAGACCTGTAGCTGGACCAGGGCCACCCGCCATGCCTCCTGTACCTGCTCGGCACAGGGTAGCCATCACTCACTGGCTGCTCTCCCTCCAACTAGACCTCTCTCCCTCTGTCTAGCATGGACGAGCCAGGCAGCCAGCCCCTCACCACCCTGATGGACATCCTCCTGAACAAGCCAGGCTTTGGCACCCGCTGTCTGAAGGAAGAGGGGACCCTGTAAGTGGCTGCACGCCCCTATCCTACTACCCATGGTTCCCCTAGGAGACCTGATGCTGGAAGGGCAGGATGGCGCCTCCCACCTCAATACTGCCTTCCTGACCCTAACCTCCATAGTTATGGGCAAGGACGGCTCACCCTGCCAAGGTCGCCCCTGCACTCCTAGAAAGCTCTGCATTTCTCAATATAGAAATACTGTGTTGTGCTCACGTATGTGTACCCCATACACACACTGAACCAGGGCCTCTGAGGGGAGGCGGGGGGCATGCTGATTTCTGATTGGCAGTCAGATGGCATCACTGGACCTCGCAGAGGAAGATGAGAAAGCCTGCAGAGGGAGGGCCCAGGAAGGCCAGGTATAGGCGCTCCTCTTAGGGACTGTTCCCTTCTTTGGAACTGACCATGGAACATTCTCTTTCCTTCCCTGAGGGACTATTCCTGTGGCAACTCAACCCCCTGGAAGACTCCTGCTGTGTCCCCGAACATCACCCATATCCTCCAGAAGCACACTTGGACTCCAGACAATCCCTCACCTTCGTGCAGGTGCAGCACCAGGGAGAAGCTCACCATGCTGCCCGAGTGCCCAGAGGGTGCTGGGGGTCTGCCGCCCCCACAGGTACCTCCAGCCCCAAGGAAGCAGGGGGCAGGTCACGATGGGCTCATGGGCTCATGGGTGGCACAGGGCTTCTCCACCTGGAGGAAGTCACTGACCAAAATCCTTTTCCCCAAACACTTCCTACCCACCCCCGTGAGAAAAGTTTATGGAGATTTGGATAGTGCACAAGTCATGCATGCTCACAATAGAAAAATTGTGTCAGGAGGTTCCAGTTGCACGTAACCATCAGTAGTAGTGGGTTGCTATCCACCCAAATGTGCCCTGACACCTGTTCTTTTCCCTCAGCCCACATCATGGTTGTGCACTCACACTGATAGATACAATCTACATCATTCCTAGCACACCTGCACACTATTTCATTATTTGGACTTACTTCCCTTTGCTAGACCTTCAGACTTTCGATTTTTCTACATTATAGCCAATGCTGGGTTGTACCTTAAAGCATATTTACACACATACACACACACTCACATCTCAACATTCTCAAGCCGAGTGCTGGGTATCTAACACAGATTCACAGGTGTATATATGCGTTGCCACACATGGCCAGGAACTGGCCTTGTAGGTATCTGAGTGAGCATCATGGCTCCAAGGAGCCCCCTCTCCTGGGAGCCCTGGGCTCTAGAATGGATCGCAGGGAGCTGCTCCTGGCTCCTGGGGACTTTGGAGACAGTGGAAGAGGCCAGAGAAGTCTCACCTTGTCTGGCTGATAAGGGCCTCACAGCTGATCTGCCCAGAGCATGGCATTAGACAGCCCTCTCATGATTTGACAGTGTATAAACAGCTCCCAGAGAGGCAGTGGGGCACAGGCATTGGAGCCAGGAAGTGTGGCTTGGCTGTGTGGCCTCTCTCAGCCTTCGTTTCCTCATCTGGCCCGAAGGGATAATCCTGCCTAATTCAGAGCATGAGGCTTCAAGGAAACAACAACAGCAAAGAGAGACCAAGACTCAACTCCATGAATGCTAACTCCAAGCTAACAGGGGCTCAACCAGCCAGTGCTTTGCTCCTTGCTGCTCCTCCTTGCTAAACAGGTCTCAGCTGCCTCAGCTAAGATAGCAGAATCTACTTGCTAGGCAGCAGAATGGAAGAAAAGGAAGAGAGGGCAAAGTGTGCTAATATGTGCTGGAAAGATGTCTACAAGCCACTTCCAAGCACTTGGGCTTCAATGCACATGTTCATGGGCAGAGCTTAGCATCAAGGCCAACTGAGAGGGCTGCTCTTTGTTCTGGATGGCCCTGTACCCAACCAAAAGGGTTATTGGCATGGCAACCAGGAAGCACCAAGAAGGAGGGCAACTGAATTGGCCCAGCAGTTATCACAGTGGGTGCTCCTAGATGTTTCTCTGTTCATGAGCATACAGTCTTTTATTGTTGTTATTATTATAAAGCATTTGCTTGTCTCTTCCTCAAGCTACACGGTCCTCTCTTTCTTTGGGTCACATCTCAGCCACTAAGCTTCAAGAGCAAGGAGGGAGGTCCCAGGTGGACTCCCAGAACTCATCTGAGCTCTCTGTACTCCAGAAGGGAGCTTGGCTTTCTGTTCAGTTGGCAGTCAAGTGCTGAGGGTCCGCATAGCTGCAAATCCCCTCAAATTCCCCTAGCGTTAAGACATCCAAGCCTGTGACACTGCACAATGACACCTTGGCTGGGAGACAGAGAGAAGGCCAAGCTTAACTATCCAGTGATTCATTTCCTAAATGCATCCCAACTTCTATGCAGACTGTCTCATGTAGAAACTTACTTCAGCAGGGTTTGTCCTTGGTACCTTGGGAAAAATTGAATGGGCTACTACAGCCCTAGAGAAAGGTAGACCAGTTCCTCTTAATTATTCACTTACTTTTACCAATTCCTGCATCCTTTCATGTATCTGTTTGCAGCAAAATTGAATGCCACACAATTGCACAGGAAATGCATCTTTCTCCCTTATACACACACACACACACACACACACACACACACACACACACACCATCCTCATTTTAGCCCTCCCTTCTGTTTAGCCCACCAGAAGTCCAGAGGCATGGTCCTGGCCCAGGGGTACTCAGTCCTTGTCCTGGTCTGGAAAGTGAGTGGGTGGAGGTGGCATTCTCTAGCATCCCTATTGCTCTCATGCCCTCAGAATGATGGGGGGGGGGGGTCCTGAGGAGGAAGTACTCTGCCCTGACCTGTAGAATATGTGCAGAATCATATTTGCTAGAATTTATGAAAAAATCAATTTCTCATAAGTTGTTCAAGCTTGGGTTTTAGTAGTCCTCCTAAGGTGCTGTCTGTGGGGAGAGAAGGCGATGGTAGAGTTACAAGAGCAAGGGCTGTGGAGGAAGACAGCTACAGGGCTAGGCCCTAGGTCAGCCACATACCCAGTCCATGACCAGTGCAAGTCAGCTACCCTTCCTGAACCTCAGCATCACTGCATGGACAGTCAGGCCAAATGTCTCTCTCACCCGGGTATGGAAACTATCAGTGCTCATGTTCTGTATGTAGAGTATTGTACCCACCACCTGGTACCCTGCAACATGCAGCAGGTGCTAGTTCTCCCACTAGTGTGCGAGAGGGAGACACAGGAAAAGAAGGGAGTTGAGAAGGCAAGGTCAAATGGGAAAAGGGAGGAAGAGCATCTGCAGAAATGAGGAGTGTGCCATGGGATGACAGTGGTTTAATGCCTCCAGAAAGTCCCCTCAGCCACCTGTGGGTGACACCTGGGACAGTGAATGCGTGTGTCCAAGTTCATGACTGACCTACAAAATTGGCTAATACGAGAAACTGCACACGATCTTTCCAAAACTAATAGTAATACTCCCACCTGGTGGCCAAACTTGTATGCTCTTGATTTTCCAGATCTTTAGAAAGTGAATCAGAAGGCACTGTTCTAAGTCCTTTACTCCTGTCACAGACCTAGCATGCGTCATCTGGGTGGCAGGCACTGTGCTGGGTGCCAGAGACACAGCAGCCAACAACTCGGGGGAAGTCCCTGCTTGCATAGAAAAAAAAGGTTTTTTTAGATTAATTTATTTGAAGGAGTTACACAGAGAGAGGAAGAGACAGAAATAGATCATCCAGAGATCGTCCATCCTCTTGTTCACTCTCCAGATGGCCACATGACTGGGACTGAACCAGGCTAAAGCCAGGAGCCAGCAGCTTCTTCTGAGTCTCTCATATGGGTGCAGGGCCCAAACACTTGGCCCATCTTCTGCTGTTTTTCCAGGCCATTAGCAGGGAGCTAGTTTGGAAATGGAGCAGCTGGAATTTGAACTGGTGCTTATATAGGATGCTGGCATCACAGGTGATGGCTTTACCTGCTATGCCACAGTGCTGGCCCCTTGTACATGTTACAAATTCTGTTTTACAGGGAGTAAGATAAAAATAAGCCATCAGTTCACCAGAAGGCAAATCCCAGGCAGGAAGAATGCTGTGATGATTGAAAACAGAAGATGCCTCTCTGAGGAATAAAATCTAGGTGAAGGGTTAGAAGATGAAATTCTACAGGGAGCAGAGTGAATGCCCAAGTTCAAAGCCAATCATGAGAGACAGGGAGAATATAAAGGGTGGGGGGAGAGTGACAGCAGCTGAGTCCAGAGAGGGAATCAGGGCTGGATCTTGTGGGGTCACCTCACTCTTGACCATGAGCTTAAATTTGACTCAGGGCTTTATTGGAGTGTAGTGAACAAGATACCTGTGGTGTTTTCATTTTCATATTTAAAACTCCACCTTGGGAGCCCGCCACAATAGCCTGGTGGCTAAAATCATCATCTTGCATGCACTGGGATCCCATATGGGTGCCAATTCATGTCCTACTCCCCACCTGTGGCCTGGGAAAGCAGTAGAGGGTGGTCCAAAGCCTTGGGACCCTGCACATGCGTGGGAGACATGGAAAAACCTGACTCCTGGCTTCAGATCAGCTCAGCTCTGGCTATTGTTGCCACTTTGGAGAGTGAACCAACAGACAGAAGCTCTTTCTGTCTCTCCTTCTCTCTATAAATCTGCCTTTCCAATAAAAACAAATAACTCTTTTTTAAAAAGAGGAAAACTCCACCTAGCTGTAGAGTGGAGAAAGGAATGTGGGGAGACCCAGGATGGAATTAGGGAGTCCAGTCTGGAAGTGGTGGTTTGGGCTGCAGTGGAGGCATAAGAGCTGGAGAGATGCTGGGAATGGGAGTTCATGTGAGGGATAAGCCATCCCAGCTTGTCGATGTGTTGGAGAAAAGGAGGGTGTGAAGGTGCCTCCTGTGTCACCAGGGCGATGAAAGTGGCCAGTCTGGTTTTTCCTCAGTAGCTGAGGACCAGAGATAGTTGTTGGAGCAGAATCAGCAGTTGCTTGCACTGTTGTGTAAGGCCTCACATTGTGAAGTCGCTCACACAGTGTCTCCTTGCCCCAGAGAACACAGCGCAGTGGAGAAGTCCTCCAGGACCTTAGCAACAGGAACATCTCCGACTACTTGGTGAAGACGTATCCTGCGCTCATAAGAAGCAGGTAAGCAAGGATCCCTTCTGCTTCTCACCCCAGCCTCCTGTACAAAGTACTGAGTATGAAGAGAATTTACCCACATCCCTGACCCACAATCAGGGCAGTGGGGCTTTTTCTAATTCAGGGTTTCAACCAATGGAAAAAGCAATTGAGGCATACACAAGTAAAATGCATGATAGAATTAATTTTGTAGGTTTTTTTTCTTTTCTTTTCTTTTCTTTTTTTTTTTTAACATTTCAGGAAAGTAATTGTGAAACTTAACCCACAAACTATTAAAAGTGATATCGAGGCGGGTCAGGGGAGGGCAGCATTGTGACATAGTGGGCTAAGCCACCTCCTAAGATATTGGCATCGCGTATGGATGCCAGTTTGTGTGCCGGCTGCTCCACTTCCCAGACAGCTCCCTGCTGATTGCCCAGTCCTGTCAGCCACAGGGAGACCTGGCTCCTGACTTCAGCCTGGCCCAGGCCTAGCCTTTGTGGCCATTTGGAGAGTGAGCCATCAGATGGAACTTCTCTCTCTCTCTCTCTCTCTCTGTTCTCAGAAACTCTGCCTCTCAAGCAAGTAAATAAATTTTTTTTAAAAATGAAAATATCAGAAAAGCATAGAATTTAACCAATAAATCAGTCTCATGTTTTAACCAGTTAAGAAGGAGAAACAAAATTTGGAGGGAGAAAGGGGAGGAAAAATAGGTAGGAAAGAGAGAGGTAAGGAGGGGAAGCAGGAAGTGAAGACAAATGCAAGAATTAGACAGAGGCAGGGCAGGAGGCAGCAGGCCGGACCCAGTGCCTGCAGTGGTCCCTCCCTGGCTGCAGAGCCCCATCTGCATTGCTGTGCAGGGTCTGCAGACCCTCCAATGCATGTCTGGTCCTCTTGGTGTTGCTGCCGTCTCATCAAGCCCCATCAGATGGAGAGGCCGCAACATCAGTCAGAGCAAGCAGCCTGATCAGAGGATGCTCTGGGCAGAGATTCAGCCCCAACTGCTCCATGACTTTCAAAACAAATGTCTTTTGTTTTGTTCATTTTAGTGGTGCTTCCAGATACTTCCCTTCCCAGAGCTCCAAGCCAGGGATGAGCAGACTCTATTTAGCAGAACACACTGCAGGTGGCACATGAGCTGCCAAGACCACTGCAGCAGATCAGCATTTAGCACTGGGAAGAACCATTAAGACCCCAAACAAAAGCAGAGCACATGGGTGTCCTCCACCCCTCAAACCTGGATCTAGGTATCAATGTGCAACATGGAACGTTTGGAGCTGTTGCCTGAAGGTTGACGACGATGACAGTTCAGAGGGTCTGGGGTTCATGTCTGCTTGTTTCCCCTCTTGTACTTGTAGGCCTGAAAGTCAAAGCCTTAAGTTCTAACTTCCCTGCCAGGCGTGCAGTTAACTGGCAAAATTTCATTGGTGCAAAGTGAGAGAGGGCAGGGCTGCAGCCTTCACTCCACCTCGGCATGGTCCTTGATATTTTTGTGAATCTGATTGACATGATGGCCGAATGTGTGACCTGACAACAGGGCACACTGCTGCAGGATGTGACTGGAAGAACCAATGGCAAAATCCTAGTTCTCTCTCTGCATGGGGACTCAGGCTGAGGCTTGGAGCTTAGGGGCTTCCACATGTAGCTCGAATATGGAAAACTGCGGAAATGCTCCCTCCACATTGAAACAAAGTCACCACTGTGGCTGAATACCTGTTACTCACTGCCCGGTTTTATTTTGGCTTTCAGCTTGAAGAGCAAATTCTGGGTCAACGAACAGAGGTAAGGAAGTATTTCTACAAGAAATTTAAAATCTCCAGTTGAGCTACTAAAAGTAATCCCACATTCAATAAAGCCACAGCTCAGAGCCATGTAGGTAAGAGAGCTGTTCTGTTTGGCCTCCGGCATGCAGAAGGCTAAGTGGGTGGGGACACTTGCTCAGCTGTGTCCTCAGAGAACCCAAGTGCAAGAAGGTGATCTGTAATGAGGACTTTGAAAGCATTGTTACCAAGTGAAAGCTAACCTCTGTAGCATCCAATGGTTTAGAATGTGCCAATGAGAGGGGCATGCAACTCACCCCGGACATTCTGTACACATTTTCTACACATATCTAATGGTGTAGGGGATCTGGCCTGGCCCCAACTCACAATGTTCCTGAAGCACCCCAGAGGCTCAGGTGGTCCCAGCAGTTTGGAGAATCTTCCAGGGGTGTCCCATGAGAGAGCTACCTTAAGCACTGGGCCTGCAGAATGGATACATGATTGATGTTGACTTGTTTTCCTGGGAAGATTCCGGGCAATAAAAGTGAAATGCAGAATCACTCCCCATAGGATTCTCCTGAAACACAAAGTGGGAGCCAGGGGGCAGTTTGAGGTCCTGAGAAAGAAAAATTTGTGGTGCTTAACTAACAAAATCATCACACTCCATGGTGGAGTGGGGCTTTTGTCCTGCCCTTGAAACATTTTAAGCCAGAGAGTGAATAACCTGCTGCCAGTGGGCATGTTCAGCCTGTGGCTCTGGACTTCCAGAGCGGAACAGAAGATGTGTCACTGAAGAAGCCAGAGCAAGGGCTCAGCACATTAGCCTAGTAGCTAAAGCCTCACTTTCTGTGCACGGGAGTACTATGTGAGCACCAGTTCGTGTCCTGGATGCTCCACTTTCCATCCAGCTCCCTGCCTGTGGCCTGGGAAAGAGTAGAGGATGGCTTGCACCTGCATAGGAGACCCAGAAGAAGCTCCTGGCTCCTGGCTTTGGATTGGCTCAGCTCCTGCCATTGTGGCCACTTGAGGAGTAAACCAGTGGACAGAAGATCTTTATCTCCCCTTCTCTCTGTAAAATCGGCCTTTCCAATCAAATAAATAAATATTAAAAAAAAAAAAAAAGCCAAGCAGAAGACTCAGCAGCAATGGTGAGGTCAGAGAGGTCCCAAGCAGGATGGGAAGGGCAGGACATGGCTCTGCATAAGCCAAGTTGTTGTGTCTGATGCTGCCAAAGTGGCACCTGCACAAGGCAGAGGTAGCAGTGAAGCAGTATCGTTGGTGGGCACCAAAAGCAGGTCAGCCGGGAGGCAGGCACTGGAGTTGGCCACAGGCTCAGGGTAAAAAGGGGAAGGACTTCCCCAGGGAAGCTGGCAGCCTTCAGGGCACAGGTGCCCCCAAGGCACCTCAGGGTCTGATCCTGCAAATGATTCAACATGCGCTTCCAGGGACACCCTGGAGAGGGAAGGACTGAGAGAGGGGCTGAGACCTTATTGAGGAGGGAAGCTGTGCCTCCACCAGGATAGAGGGGAAGGCTCTGAGTTGGTTTTGGGAAGTAGAACAGGGCAACTTGCTCACTCAGAAGGTTAGCTCCTCTACTAAAATGGAGGCTTGCTGACAGGTGTGGCGTTCCTGGCTCCCAGCTGAGGATTTCTTGTTGCCTTGCCAGGTATGGAGGGATCTCCATCGGAGGAAAGCTCCCGGCAGTCCCTGTCACCGGGACAACACTTGTTGCTTTCTTAAGCGACCTTGGCCATTTAATGAATGTGAGCGGGGTACGTATGGACTGAAGAGCCAGGCATCATTGGGAATTTGTTTACTTCTCATGAAAAAGAAGCAATCATGAATGCTGCAGGAATTTGAAAACAACAAACGAAAGCCCCACTGCTTGTTTCTGATGGTCTCCTAGGGCCCTGTCACCAGAGAGGCTGCTAAAGACATGGCTGATTTTCTTAAACATCTGGAAACAGAAGACAACATTAAGGTGGGTGACCCGCATCATCAGCATTCCTAGAGCTAAAAGCTCACATGAGCTCATAATTTTATTTTCATTTGCCCAGCTTCATTCAATTCCATCCTTCCTCTTGCTAAAATCCAGCAAGGCAGCATGTCTTCCAGCTGCCCAATGCCTGTTCCTGCCCACATGCTTTGTCCTGCACCTTAATTTTCCCTTTAAACACCCATTGCTGTTGTTCAGGCTACATCTCAGCTGTGTCAGCATGGCCTTACAAAGCCCCATCCCACCTGCTAGGTGTGGTTTAACAACAAAGGCTGGCACGCCCTGGTCAGCTTTCTGAACGTGGCCCACAATGCCATCCTACGAGCCAGCCTGCACCAGGACAGGAACCCTGAGGAGTATGGCATCACAGCTGTCAGCCAGCCGCTGAACCTGACCAAGGAGCAGCTCTCAGAGATCACAGTGTAAGCCGCATGGTTTTCCCACCCCTCCAGAGCTGGTTGCCGCCATATGGTGCCCAGCTGGGTGGCTGTGGTACTTGATCAGGCACACTTGACCACAAGTCTTGGAAGTGTTTCGCATACCCAAATCCTTTAGCCGTTCTTTCTCCCCCACCTTTATTTGAAAAGTAAGCTTATCTTTGGGTCTGTCTACTTTGGGCACTTGTTAAACGAGCTATACAAATAGCCTCCTTTGGCAGGATTTCAAAAGAGCTGCCAGGACCTGAGTTACACCAGTCTCCCATTTCCAAGTGGTGATTGTCTTGGATTCTGGTCAAGGGGACATGCTTTAGGGATGGCAACAGGTCCTTGCCCTCTGCTAGCATGAGCTATTATGGCACCACCTCCAGCAGAAAGGTGCCAAGCCTCTGCACCTTGCAATACACTTGCTCTGTTCAAAGTCAACGTGGAGGGGCAATGGGGTTACCTATGTTAGTGCAGATTTCTTCTGGAAGGCTGTGGAGTCCTGACTTAGCTGCATTGGTATAGTTGGGATGCTACCAAGTGTATCCAAGGGTCAACCCTAAAGCCTGGGCTATGGCCCTTGGTGCCTTGCCCTGAACACCCTCCAGGGCCCTGCGGTGTTCACACTTAGTCCAAGTTTGGGCATCTTCCGCAAAGCCTTTTGTTTGTGAACTGGGCTTCTTCCTGGGATTATAAACTAGTGGTGGGCCTGGCAAGTCGGTCAATGGCTAAAGTCCTTGCCTCACACGTGCTGGGATACCAAATGGGCACTGGTTTGTATCCCGGCTATTCCACTTCCCATCCAGCTCCCTGCTTGTAGCCTGGGAAAGCAGTTGAAGACAGCCCAAAGACTTGAGATTGTGCACCCATGTGGAAGACCAAGAAGAAGCTCATGGCCCCTGGCTTTAGATCAGCTCAGCTTTGACTATTGCAGCTACTTGGGGAGTGAGCCAGAGGTGAAAGATCTTTGTCTCTCCTTCTCGCTATAAATCTGCCTTTCCAATAAAAATAAATAAATCTTTTTTTAAAAAAAAACCCTAGTGGTAAAAACAAACTAGTGGTGAGAGTACTTCACACAGACTTATGGAAAAGGTAAAAATAAAACATGCACTTATTTAAATGCCAGAAGCCTTGAAATCTGTGCCTGGGTCCTTCAATATACTCCTCTTCCAGAAACTCTTTGAGGTCGCTTGGGATGTGTTCATTAACTAAAGCTTACATAATCAAGGTGTTGTTGTTTGTCTTGTTTTTGGAAAGGCAGATTTACAGACAGAAGCAGAGACAGAAAGATCTTCCAACCACTGATTCACTCCCCATATAGCCACAATGGCCAGAGCTGAGCCAATCCAAAGCCAGGACCCAGGAGCTTCTTCCGAGTTTCCCATGTGGGTACAAGTTCCCAAGGCTTTGGGCCATTTTCTACTGCTTTCCCAGGCCACAAGCACGGAGCTGGATGGAAGGTGGAGCAGCCGGAACACAAAAATGCACCAGGGATCCTAGTGTGTGCAAGTCAAGCATTTAGCCACGAGGCCATTGTACCAGGCCCACATAATTGAGTTTTAAGAACACAGTATCTGTGGTCCTGTGTGACACAGGTCCCTGTGTGGGAACCAACCCAGATGGTGTCTTTGTGGGGTTTCTGTCCACTTACCTACTCTGCCAGGCTCCTTCTGGCTGGCCCAGGGAAGGGAGAATACAGCCCAGGTGGCCATGGGCCTGCCTGTTCTTATGTCCCTTTGGGTTATACTATGAACACCCACCTGCATCATCATGTGCTTTGTGAAAGCATAGCTGAGTAAGGTCATTTCTTGTTACAAAAGCAATCAAGTTAAAGGTCTATGTGGCTATTGACAGAGAACATTCTAGAGCCTTGAAAGACAAATTGATAGAGCTCATAAGAGCATTGCCCCAGAAGGATAGCATAAACATTCCCATTGAAAAGGACAATTCACTTGAGCTTGACCCAGGCTGGTTAGCAGTCAATTCAGATTAAGTGGCAGAAATCCAAAGGCCACCACCTGGGCTTGGGTCAGGACTTCCCAGAGCCTGGCCTCATGGTTCTTCCTGCACCTGCCCTGTCTTCACCTCTCTGCCCTGTGTTTCCTGCCCCGCTGCAGACTGACCACTTCAGTGGATGCCTTGGTTGCCATCTGCGTGATTTTTGCCATGTCCTTCGTTCCTGCCAGCTTCGTCCTTTATTTGATCCAGGAGAGAGTAAGCAAAGCCAAGCACCTCCAGTTTATCAACGGCGTGAGCCCCACTACCTACTGGCTTACCAACTTCCTCTGGGACATTGTGAGTGACAGCTCTTCCTCACCTGTAGACACCCAGGTGGCACTTGTGCAGGGCCCGATGGGGGGTGGTTGCACTGCTGGTGCCAGGATGGCCTTCCTGGCACTAATGTAGGTTGAGAAGGTCACCTCAAAGAAACTTGCCCTCAATCTCTTCTTAAACCTACCATCCCCAAAATGGTTAGCATGCCTTCTGTTAGTTGGTTCACCAGATAAATATAAGGTCCTCCACTAAATCTGAATTTCAGATAAGCAACAAATGATTTGCAGTTTAAGTATATCCCACTTCAAATATTTTATGCTAAAATGATTGTTTATCTGAAATTCAAATGTAGTGGAGTGCCCTGTATTTATATTTCTCAAATCAGACACCCTATCCAATGGCACTCCAACATGGGACATGAGCATCTTAACTACTAAGTCAGCCACCCACTTCTAATGCTCTGGATTTCTATGCTGTTCTGGAAGCTGAACCCTTGGATCTGTAATATTAGAACTTCACCCCACAAAATACAACCTGTGCCAGGGGTCATTACTTAATGAGTGACAGTTATGATTCATATCATTCACTTAGTACATCTCCAAAAGTTTTCAATTCTTGCTTGGCTTATTATCGTCTGTTTTTCAATGCACAATTATCAATGCACAGAAATGCAATGCAAGTTACTAGTTCAAAACTTTTTCTGAGCCAGTTGAGAACCTTCCCAACAAGATACCCCTTCTCTCTTTTCCCTTTCTCACACACATCAACACCCTCAATATCTACCTTCAACAAGCAGTGATGTGTCCCATTCAGCCACAATACAATGTCAGCATCGGGAAGCCAGTGCTGATGTTACCATTCAAGTTCCATCAGCAGCCCTAATAATGTCTCTGCTCTGTGAAAGGATCTGGCCCAGCATCGCATACTGCCTTTAGTTGCCACATTTCGGTCATCTCCTGGAACAGTTCCTAGCCCTCTCCTTGACTCTCACGGTCTTGACTCTGCTAAGGCATACAGGTCAGCTGTTTTACAGAGTGTCCTTCAGTCTGGCTTTGCCCGGGGTTTCCTCACGATTATCTTGAGGGTCTGTGTCCTTGGCAGCAGGACCATAGGTGGATGTTGGATTCCTCTTTAGGTGGCTGATGATTCCAAGCCGTGCAGTTACTGATGATAGGATGGTCACTTTGGTCATAACGCCTACTGCTAAGTTACTCTCTGCCCCTTTAAAAACCCCTCCCAGGTTTTCATCCTACTCAAAACCCAACCCTTCCATGGCTGCCTGCTTTTCCATGCCCAACCTAAAGGTTTAGGGACTGAATTTTTTTAGCAAGAGTACCATCATCTCTCTTTGAGCATCCTGAGGGCAGAGACTACATTTTAAGTTTTTCTCAATCCTGCACATATGCTTACAAAGAAGAGTCAGTGGGTCTTCATGACCCAATAGAAGCAGAGTGAAAGACCTGGTGGGATTTTACAATTTCTTTTTTTTAGAAGACACACACACAGAAGGCTCACTGAGCAAGAAGGTAGTAGGGGTGGGGGATCGGAGCAATAGCAACAGCTTAACACTGGTTTGTTAATCAAGAGCCATCTGGACAAAGGACTCAACACTGGAGGAACCTGGTCCCAACCCCCATTTCAAACAAAGGGGTCCTAGTTCAAGGTTAAGGCATTGGCTCCCCTCATCTTTTCCAGATGAATTATGCCGTGAGTGCTGGCCTGGTGGTGTGCATCTTCATTGGGTTTCAGAAGAAAGCTTACACTTCTCCAGACAACCTTCCTGCCCTCATTGCACTACTCATGCTGTACGGGTGAGCTCCTGGACCATTCAAGTTGAAGCCACCACAAGGGAAGCAAAGGAGAGTATGGGCTGTCCAGGAGTGATAGCATCCAGCCCCGGGCACAGCTTTGAACTCTACTAATGGAAGTGTTTTCAAGGCCTGGTTCATTTAGGGACAATGAATGAAGCTGCATATGGTCTGGCTCATCTTCCTCTTAAACTGTGTCCCTGGGAACTAGGCACTCCCAGATTCTCCCCCAGCTCTGATCTGTTCCACCTGCAGCCTATCTGTTCACCTCAGGGTCTTCATCTGTATCTGTCAGGTGTATTTTGTACATAAAAGATGACTGTAACTGAAAGGCTGCCCCTGCCTCAGGGCTGGGAGGTGGCCTGGGCATCCAGTCCAACAGAATTTTAGAGCAGAGCATGCAGTTGTGCATCCCAGGCCTACCATGGACTGCATATATAACTGTGGGCAAAATAATTCACCCACCTGGACATTAGTTCCATCATCTGTGAAATGGGAATTATGATGCCTGGCCCTTCCTTTGTGGTCCATTAGTGTGTAACTGGAGTAGCCATTTCCATAAACGTCCCTTAGAAACGGAGAATTCAGGTCCAGGGTAGTAGCTTAGTGGCTAAAGTCCCTGCCTTGCATAACTGGAATCCCATATAGACACCAATTCGTATCCCAACTGCTCCAGTTCCCATCCAGTTTCTCCTGTAAATCTGACTTTCTAGTAAAAATACAAATAATTTTTTTAAAAAATAGAGAATTCAGGAACCAGTGTGCTTACTGTAAACTGTCCAGCAAATCATGAGGATGAGTTTGTTGGGACCTTCACCTCTTCTGTGCTGACCCACCTATAATGGGTAGCACTCCAGGACAGAGAGCCCTCCCGAATGCTGTGTAAGGCTTTTTTAAAAAGTTATTTTTATTTAAGAGGCAGATTTTACAGCAAAGGGGAGACAGAGAAGGTCTTCTATCCTCTGGTTCACTTTCCTAATGGCTGAGATCAGCTAAACTGATGTGAAGGCAGGAGCTTCTTCTTAGTCTCCCACAAGGATGTAGGGACCCAAGGCCATAAACAGGAAGCTGGATTAGAAGTGGAACAGGTGGGACACAAACCAATGCCAACATGGAATGCCAGTTCCATGGAGCAGAGGCTTAGTTTGCTACACCACCATGCCAGCCGCTGCATGCAGTTTTTTAACCACCAAATACATAAACGGCACCTGTCTCACTTGCTCCCCACACAACCCCATATGGTGATCAGGACAGCCAAGATGAGGCACAGAGGCCAGGTGATGGGTGACTACTGTGTTTGAAACTCTGGCCCGTTCAAACACATCACTCACACACCACAGCGGGACTCATGCCAGACGTCCCACTAGCTGCCTGCTTTCTCACAGGTGGGCAGTCATCCCCATGATGTACCCGGCATCCTTCCTGTTTGATATCCCCAGCACAGCTTACGTGGCTCTGTCCTGTGCAAATCTGTTCATCGGCATCAACAGCAGTGCCATCACCTTCATCTTGGAACTGTTTGAGAATAACCAGGTGAGCACAACTCTCTTGGCTGTCCCATTAGACCCACAGGATCCTAGAGAGTAATGCTTGGTGAAGCAAGCACCAACTCTGGTTGCCTGCCTCCTCTTCCCCTTCCTCCCCTTCCTCCCACCTTCTCCACTTCTTGCTCATTTTTCAGCTCTGAGCGCCCCAGTCTCCTGAGTGTATTCTGCAGGTTAAGACAGATGTCCCATGATGGTACAATTTTAGATTCTTTAATCCTTCCAGAATGCTAGACTTCACACACACGTAACATTTTCAGGTGATTCCACAATTCTAAAGGAACAAAAAAAGCATGTGATAAGAAACCTCTTCTTGTTTCTTATGTGTTCTGCAGACATGTTAGCAGATAAATATCTATTCTTTCTCCCTTTCTCACCTTTTCTTATGCAAAAGTAGCACACTACCATATACTATTCTGTATGGGAGATCATGCTGAGGACAGGGTCAGGCAATCACAGTACTGAGTCACTTCTAGGAGCTACAAAGTCCAGCTACCCCACCTACAGCCTGAATAGGATTCCTACCTCTAACCATATACAGATAATCAACTCAAATGGATCAAAGACCCAATGTTAGACCTGAAACTATGACATAGTAGAAGAAAACAATGGAGAAACACTTCAAACATTGATGTAGGTGTTGACTTACTAGGTAAGATTCCAGCGAGGCTCAGGCCACAGAAAACAAAGCTGGCTACATGGGACAACTGTGAACTCAGACATTCCACACACACAGCAATGGAAATGCTCCACAGAATGAGGAGAATGGGAAAAAACACTTGCAAGCTACTTATCTAGGAAAAGATTATATATATTACGTATATTATATATTATAATAAAGAATTGTATTATGTATAATAAAGGATCATATAATATTTACATTATAATGCATATTATATAATATACAATAAGAAATTATATATGTGTTATATACAAATATATTGATATGCTGTATTAATTATATAACATTTATTATATAATGTGCTATATGTAAATATAAAACATATAACATATTGTATAATATGTCATATTAATATATAATATAGCATGTGATATTAATATATGATATATCCTATGTCATATATTGCATATTAGTTTAATGCACATATTATATTAATACATAATGAATATATGATATATATTGCGTGGGTAACAGACTGAACCAAATGCACAAGCAAGAGTCAGGTCTGGGATCACTTCAGGTGAGGTTTCTTTGAGAATACCACCCCCCCCAACTGAACTGCTTAACTCAGAACTCTAACCATGGGGAGAACTGCAGGATCTGTGGCCTGACCGTGGAGTGAGTGTATTATAACTGGACCTCCTAAGTGGCTTAGACAGAGCAATGGATGGATACTCAGACATACATGGAGGATATGGCAGTCCACTGAGACCTGAAGAGGACATCTAGTACCAGTACAGAGAAAGGAGGCCAGAACAAATTGACTAACTACCTCAGCCAAGTGTTGACAGCAAATATCTGGGTGAATGGAGACCCTAAGGTAGACTATATCAGCCAATGGAAATTGAAAGGATTTCCTCATCCTTGGAGTGGCGAGATCTATAGCATATCAGAATTATCCAAACAGAACCCTTGGAGCATGCTCCACATCAGAAACGCTGGGATGACATCAGGTGGCCATTCCCCATTCCCAGGTACTGAGGCAGCTGGGAGGCTGAATACGCCTTCCTCCCCATCTCCCCCCACCCAAGACATAGGAAAAAGAAAAAATTTGGAAACAGTGGTCTCACCCATTTTCGCCTAAACGTCTACCCTTCCCACTCTAATCAACTATGTAAGTATCATTAAAAATAAAAATTTGTATAAAAAGATTATATATAAATATATGTATGTAATAATAAAGTACATTAATATATTTAGATTATTTTATTTTACCACATTTTATTAAACATAAATTACACTCATATATTTAAATAAAGCATATATTAAATATGTAAATGCAACATATCAAATATGTAAATTGAATTGTTAGTGTAATTTATATATTTAATATGTTGCATTTATATATTTAATAATATGTAATTGTATATTTATGTGTGTGATTATATAATATTTATATGAATTATATATTTTTATATTTATACAGTAATATATATTGGATAAAGCATTAGATAGATATTGCCCAGGGCACCTGGAGTGGGCCACAGCCTGGGTGACAAGGTCATGGCATTGAGGACGGAGCTGAAGGAAGGAAAGATCTCCCAGACTTGCACAAGATCTGTTTTTCCAGATTCAAAAAGCATCTGTCAAGCCGTTAACCCAGTGAATGAAGATACCCCACACCATGGCAGATTTCTGTGACAATTTAGAACACTGGCACCAGAAAGATGACCCTAAAAACTTTCAGCAGGAGTAGAAAATGGCTACATGAAAGGATCATGGGTCAGAATGGCAAAACACACTACAAATTAGAAGATAAGTAGAGGAAAATTATTTTCTACATCTAGCCTGCTAACATTGTGAGAAGACAATATATTTTATTTTTTAATGTACTTGCAAGGCAGAGCTACAGAGATGAACAGGAACAGTAGCCATTCCTCCCAGATAACTGCACACCCACACAGGACTGGCCCAAAAGCAGTCCAGAAAGTGCTGCCTAACTGAAAGGGGCAGGTGTTACCCATCAGACCTGCAGGGCTGATGGGCTGATTTGTCATCCGTGGATAAGTCCCTTGGCCTAGACAAGCCCCTTCAGACCATGCTTGGTGAGCCCTGCCTCCCACCAGGGTGGCTGCAAAGGCACCATCCCTGGGGCCCACTTGCTCAGGAGGGAGGCAGGTGGGCTTGCCTCTACTTTCAACAGTCTTGCTTCTCTGTTTCAGACGCTGCTCAGGTTCAACGCCATGCTACGGAAGCTGCTCATTGTCTTCCCCCATTTCTGCCTGGGCCGGGGCCTCATTGACCTGGCACTGAGCCAGGCTGTGACGGACGTCTATGCCCGGTTCGGTGGGTGGCAGTCAAAGGCACATGGGGCGTGGACTCTGGTTCCATCCAGGAAGGGAAGCCAACATCAGACCCGCAGCCCGAGCTGAGGCTGGTGAAGGATTATCTTGCCACCCAGAAGGGACCAGGCTATAGAGCCACAGGGAGGGGTCAAGGTCAGGCTAGTGCTGAGGCCTTGTATGCAGCCTGGTCCAGCTGAGCCTGCTGGGGTAGCCAAGTCCTTACAGGTGAGCAGGGTAGCTGGCAGAGATTCAATTCCTATTGATTTCTCTATGGCCTCCTTCTGCAGGGGAGGAGCACTCTGCAAATCCGTTCCAGTGGGACATGATTGGGAAGAACCTGGTTGCCATGGCAGCAGAAGGAGTTGTGTATTTCCTCCTGACGCTCTTCATCCAGCACCACTTCTTCCTCACCCGCTGGTATGTCCACACCATGGCCTGGTGGTGCCAAGGGACAGCTCAGAGTGTCCTGGGCCAGACTTCACATGGGCATGGTCAGGTCCTCCCTAGGAAGCTCCACACCGTGATAACCTTTTCTATTCTTAGAGCCTGGCTTACTCTGAGGATGACACAGGCATGCTCAGATGTGCACCACCCCAGTGTTACATGATGATATCAATTCCACCTCCTAACATGTAAGATTTAATAGCAGCATGGCTGAGATGCTGAGCAACCAACCTGACCTGCCTCTTCCCTTCCTCTAGGATTGCTGAGCCTGTGAAGGAGCCCATTGTTGACGAAGATGACGACGTGGCTGAAGAAAGAAAAAGGATTACCAGTGGAAGAAATAAAACTGATATCTTAAGGTTAAATGAACTAACCAAGGTAAGGGCCTGGGTTATGTGCCATGAATGGCACATGTTGTCATTTATTTTAGAATAAGTTCCATGCTTTTGCAAGCTGGGTCATCTCTGCAGTAATTTGTCTTCCAAGAGCATCTCATTGCAAAGCATTTCCCTGATATTTGCCTTCGGGACTCTCCCAGGGCCTCAGTGGGAACTCCTCCTGCTGAGCAGCTTAATTGCTTCTTGGCTCTGTTTTGGCTCAGCTGGATCAATCACCTCTGCAATGTCAGTGCTCCCAGCACCCCTCTGAACACCCAAGCCCATACACAGCCTCCTGGTGCCCATGGACTTCTCTACACCAGCCTTTCTCCCTGCTCCTTCTTTCCCTCCCTGCTCTAACCCTACCTCAGTGCAGTGTCTCTGAATCTTGCAGATTTATTCAGGCACCTCCAGCCCGGCAGTGGATAGGCTGTGTGTGGGAGTCCGCCCTGGAGAGGTGGGTACCAGCAGACCATGCGCAAAAGGCCTTCAGAAAACCAGCCCCCGGGCGTGATGTTTTTCCACTCACAGCAGAGCTACTCAACATCAGAGTGCTGCAAGCCCCTGTACACAATTTTGCACTTTCTAATAGCTCCTTGAGAAAAGTGAACATAGGTGAAATTACTTCTAATATTTCTGGTTTTATCCATTACATCCAATAAATAGAAATAGAAATATCATTTCAGCATATATAATTAGCATAAAACATTACTAATGATATATTTCACATTTAGTGGGGGTTTTTTTTTGGCTTTGGGGTTTGTTTTTATTGTTTTTTGTTTTCTTTCATTCTTAGTCTTCAAACCCTGACATGTGATTACAGTTAGGGCCCATGTCAACTGGGACGAGCAGTGGTTGGAGGACTAATTAAGGCTAGTGTTAGATGCCTTTCCCAGCCCACATGATCATCTACACCTGACATTTCAGAATTTCTTGGTCTCTAAATTTGTGCATTTTCTCCTAGTGCTTTGGCCTCCTGGGAGTCAATGGTGCCGGCAAAACAACCACATTCAAGATGCTCACAGGTGACACCACAGTGACCTCAGGTGATGCCACCGTAGCGGGCAAAAGGTGAGTGCCCCAATGTTCCATCTCAAGGCTCTCCCAGGTCCCAGGCCATGTCCCTGTCCCAACACAGGGATAGTGATCTTTAAATCTTATGTCTTTGAGACTTTTAGACAATGAAAGATCTGTGCAATTCCCAAAGCCCAAAACACAGACCTGCTGAAATGTGGGATTAAACTGTGAGTGTTAAAGAGATTCCTCTGTCCATGTAACTTCTTGAGAAGTTCTGGAAATCACTGTATCAGTGGTTCTTAACATCTTTGGGGTCATGGACTACTCTGGGAAATGAGGAACTGTTGCACTCCCCTTCTTATAAAAGTATACCCTCACCTTCCATTACCTCCCTTTATACACTTCTGCAAAAAGCTTCAGGAACCCCGCTGAGCTCTGAAATGCAACTGATGATCCTGTGGGAGCTCCTGTGACACAGCACCCTTTCCCTGGGTTGAGTTTCTAGATGTGGGCCTATTTGTATGGGGGAGGGGCAGCTGAATGGTGGCCAGTTGTGTTCAGATGCTCAGCTTTTTGACAGACCTAGAAGTTATAAAGATGAACTGGCAGCTGAGATAAACTTGGAGTCAAGAAGGTAGTTCCTGTTAACTCACAGGAATTGGCTTCTTTAACAGCTAGGTGCTCTATGGGACAGAAAGAATAAGGCCCTCACTCGTTTGCCTCCTTCCTGGCTGTTCCTTGAAAAGAGGACTTGCTTATACATTAGGCACTGCTGCCATCTGCCCAGCATCTGCTTGAACAGAGCTCCATCCCTCAGCTGCAAATGGTCCAGGGCTCAATGGGCAGGGGAAGTCCTGAGCACATATGACTGGTTCAGATGGGATGAATCTAGTTTCCCATCTTCCATGGCTATTCCTGTTGGGTTTACAGCAAAGGGAATGAGGTGGGTGGAGCCTGGGCACAGCTGTCGCTGGCCTGCAGCAATACTACCTACAAGGCACACTCTTGAGGGTCTGGGAAAAGCCAGAACCACAACCAGACCCCTTATTACCAAAAGCTGCTGCGTTTATACCCTTCTTTCCGCTGCCTTTTTTCCCGTTGGTCTTAGCTTTTCTCCCTGCTTCTCTAGCCCTCTCTCCACTACTTTTCGTCCTGTTCTTCTCCTCGTCCTTTATTCCTTTTGTACCCCTCTCTGCTGCTTTTCTCTGTTCTTGTTCCCGTACTTTTCTCTCTGTAGGTCTTACTGCTTTTGTACTGCTTTTGTACCCCTCTCTGCTTTTTCTCCCCATACGCCTTAGCCTTTCTACCCCTCTCTGCCGCCTCGTTCTTCTCATTCCATCCATCGTTCTTCTCCCTGTCCTTCTTCTCCTTGTCTGTCTTATAGCTTTTAGTGGCTGCTTTTATACTGCTCTCCACCAATCACTTCTCCCTGTGGGTCCACTTGGCGCTACCTGATAGGCCAGGAGCAATGACATAATCGCAGCGAGGGCATCAGCCTATCCCTGTGACTTCCTGATTACCTGCTGGCAAGACCAACCCCGCCTCCTGGCCCTGGGCCAGCCGCCATCCTGCAATGGCCTTTCCTATTCCTGGGAGTGGCTCTGGCACCCTGCTCCCCACAGCTGAGTCTATCTCGCATGCAGGTCCAGCCCAGCCTGCAACTAAGCATGTGGATTTATGATGAAAACAAAGGTAGTCAGGGGGACAAGGAGACAGAGGCAGGATGTGATAGGAATTTACCATGAGACATCGTCTACCACCGAAATGAGCCACAGTCTGGTGTCCTATTGGAAGCTAAAAAGAAACCACAGGTTTAAGACAAGGGTTGAGGGTCTCCATTGAAGTAGCTCCCATAAACTTGACCAAGGATCCTCCTGGCTTCCCTGAGTAGGTTTAATTAGCCAAGCCATACCTTTGGTTGACTTTTTGTCATAGTGAGGGAACTGCAACAGGCCTCCCTTGTCCCAGCCTCTCACCTTCCTCCTTCATTCACAGACCCGAAGTTATAAAAAGATATGGCCTGGCAAGGTAATATATTTCCTACTGGAACATGTTAGTCTAAGAGAGCTGATGGAATCCAATTCACTTTTTCCTTGCTTCCTGCCAGCCTCTTGCTCTGGGCAATTACCAAATTGAATTTCCTTTTATTGACTGTATGCTAGCCAATAAACACAGCTGGAGGAATTTACTCCCACTGAGAGGCACTCAGCTTTCTTAACTACTTCCTAAATGTCTGGAAGGGATTAAAACTCACAGATTGTTTTCTTGCTTTTTAAAAGCTTTTCTAAAAAAAAAAAAAAATATATAAGTTTATTTTTATCTACTTGAAAGACAGAGAAATCTTCGTTCACTAATTCATTCCCCAAATGACCCCAGGATCCAAGAGTCCCAACAGGGTCTTTCACGTGGGTGTCTGGGGAGCCAACCCTTGAGCATTACCTGCTGCCTCCCGAGGTGTGTATCAGCAGGAAAATGGATTAGCAGTGGAGTAGCCAGGATAGGAAGCAACACTCCAGTATAAAAGACAGGCATCCCAGGCAGAGGCTTAAGCTATTGGAAAGCACAATACACACCCCCAGACCATTCTCTTAAGCCTGATCTGCCTTTGCTTTCAAACTCATATAAGAAGACCCAGTTCAAAACCAAAGCTGGTCTGGGGTGACAGGCTTCAATGATCCTAGACAATGGGAACTTGGAAAGTTCCAACTGAAGCAAGACTCTGAACTCCTGGAGTTCAACAGCTTCTAAGCAAATGTTAGCTATTTTGATTTCCAAATGCTGTACCCATTTCTGAAGCAGTAGGGGAGCAGAGGCAGCTTCTGTGTTCTGGTGGCAGAAGCTGCCCCTGCCCCAGCTCCCTGCTCACCCGCACTAGGAAGGAAACTCACTGATCACCATCCTCTACTTTCAGTATCTTAACCAACATTTCCGACGTCCACCAGAATATGGGCTACTGCCCTCAGTTTGATGCGATCGATGACCTGCTCACGGGCCGAGAACATCTTTACCTTTACGCCCGGCTCCGAGGGGTACCAGCAGAAGAAATTGGAAAGGTAAAAAAAAAGTTTTGTCATGGCCACAGAGAGCTTCGGCAAACCATAAATAAGCCTGATTCCTGAGCGTACATTCATTTAGAGATGGGAAACTGGAGCTCGTGTCTGCTTCTAACAAGTGCTCACTTGGTGTCTATTGTGTGCCAAGTACCATCATGGAAGGTAGGGACAAAAATTAATGCACGAAATATACCCAAAAAAACTCCTACCCTCACATTAAAGATAATGTACACATTAAAACTTCAACCCAGCAATCGCATTTCTGGGAATTGGCTCTGAAGATACCTCTCATAGCACAAAATGACTACACACAAGGTTATTCACAGCATTGGTGATTGCAAAATACTGAAAATTACCTATACATTGGTAGAATAATTTATGGCACATGCATAAAGCCTTAGGTAACTCTAAAAATAAATAGGAAAATTTCTATGAACTGAGATTCAATTATTTCCTATAGATATTGTTAAATGAGAAAAGCAGAGTGCTGAAGAGCACATGTGGAATGCCACATTTCATGTGTGAGAGTAAGAAAGATAAGAAAGTCTATGTATGCCCGCATACGTTTACAAATAGAACACTGCCAGCAAGCACTGACGCAATGACATCAATGACCAAAAGGAGGGAACTAGGATGAAAGGGAGCTGAGAGGGAATAGCATTTCTCTGAGGATCCCTGTTTGAAGACTTTTGACTTTTTCAAAGCAAAAAAATAAATATATATATATGAATAGGACACGGCACACCATGGCCCTATTTGACTCTAATCGGGGCTGAAGTCCTGGAGAGCTGAGACCTAGGCTTTGGATTGGTGGGGGTTGAGCCTATGCTCTTGTTTGTCTTCCCTAATTGAGCTTCTCTTGCTTCCCTAGGTTACAAACTGGTGCATTCAGAGCCTGGGCTTGTCCCTCTACGTGGACCGCCTGGCCGGCACATACAGCGGGGGCAACAAGCGGAAGCTCTCCACTGCCATCGCACTCCTTGGACACCCGCCACTGGTGCTGCTGGTGAGGGTACTGCGGCCTGCAGGGACAGCCAGCCCTGAAAGTTCAAACCAACCACGGCCTCTCTTGAGCCAGGGAAACCCAACACCTGCTGCTTGTTCTGTTCCTTCCAGTGCTCCTGTGAGCCAATTAGCCCACAGTCTCATGGATGGTCTCTATTGGGGACACAGGCTCAGTTCAACTCTATGCACTGTCAGAGGCTAGCCAGAAATTACTGCTACCTGGGACGACCCAGGTAGACAGGAGTATACACCTGTCTCAAAGACTCTGGTGACTCAGATGAGCCTGTTGAGGCCTGAGGCCCCAGGCCAGGCAGCCAGCAATATGTGAAGACATGGTCACAGCACACGAGGGAACCAGAACAGTAACCCAAGCTGTCTCTGTCCCTCTTTCCACATTTGCCTTTTTTTACTTCTTTTTTTTTAAAATTTTGAATTTTATGGTACAATTCCATAGGGCCTGGGATTTCCCCACCCAACCCACCATTTTTTTCCTTCTTTTTAAAGATTGATTTATTTTATTTGAAAGAGTTACAGAGAGGGAGAGTGGGAGGGAAAGTGAGAGATCTTCCATCTCTTGGTATACTCCTCTGATGGCTGCAATAGTCAGGACTGAGCCAGGCTGAAGCCAGGAGCCAAGAGCTTCATCCAGGTCTCCCACAAGCGGGGGCAGGAGCCCAAGTCCTTGTGCCATCCTCTACTGCTTTGCTCAGGCCATCAGCAGAGGGTTGAATTGGAACAGCCAGGACAGGAATTGGAGGCACCCAGCATCATGGGCAGCCATTACTCTGACCCCTCATCTTCTCCTTCTTTTAAGGATATTTCTATTAGTACCTTAATAAACCTTGATCAACATATGGGATGAAATGGGATTGCAGGGGTACATAGTGCCCTTTTATTCTTTGAGTCACCTCCTGCCTTCTGTACCCTGAGTCTGGGTACCTTGTCTTTGGCTGTGGAGGGAGTGCCTATGTCTGCCAGCTCACTCCTCCCAGCCCAGAGTAGCTGGAGACAGGGTGTGGGGGAATAGGGAGGGTGGTGGGGTCTGTCCCAGGAGGACACAGTACCCAGGAAAGGATAGCTCCAAGCCCACACCCCATGGTTCCCCCTCAATAGGATGAGCCCACCACAGGGATGGATCCCCAGGCACGCCGCATGCTGTGGAACACCATTGTGAGCATCATCCAAGAAGGGAGAGCCGTGGTCCTCACATCCCACAGGCAAGAGATTCCCAAGGGGGTGGGACAGGTATGGGGCAGAGTGCTCCTCTGCTCACCTCCTCTCTCCCACCCTACAGCATGGAAGAGTGTGAGGCACTGTGCACCCGGCTGGCCATCATGGTGAGGGGCACTTTTCAGTGTCTGGGCACCATTCAGCACCTCAAGTACAAGTAAGCAGGTGGAGGGGTGGAACCCTTTGTCACTTTTCATGGGCTTCAGCTGGTCCCAGGTTCTCTACTGATTGGGGAGCATCCTGCTGGCCCTGCTCCCAGGAGCAAAGCCAATCTAACAATGACTAGTAGCCCAAATGGCTGGTGAACCAGGATTCTTTTCTGGAATATTGTATGCTTTAGAGCTTGAAAAATGACCACATACTTTATGACAAACCAACAATGTTGATACTCTTGAGTGGGATTACCATAAATTGTTATAAGTCCTCATTATAGATAGTGTGCCAAAATAGATAATCTGCTCAAATAAAACTGTCATGATGTTGCCACACTCTCTTGCATTCTGATAAGCTTTAGAAACTAGGAAAGAATGGATTTATGTTAGCATGCTTTGTTTAATACCTATAATGTCATCATACACTTAAACAGAAGGATAATGGATTTGTGGCTGATGTTGAAGAACTAGACTGTTGTAATAATATGGAAGAGAACAGTGGAAGGGGAGGGTGATTGGGGAGGGTGGAAGGGGAAATCCCTATATCATGAAAAATAAATAAAAAATAAAATTTTAATTAAAAAATAAAATACTGACAGCCCAGACTATAAGTCTCTGGGAATCTGTTGGGATCCAGCCATTCCCTAACACCTGCACCACCCTGGACCTCCTCCAGGTTTGGAGATGGCTACATTGTCACAATGAAAATCAGATGCCCAAAGGATGATGTGCTTCCAGACCTGAATCCCGTGGAGCAGTTCTTCCAGGGGAACTTCCCAGGCAGCGTGCAGAGGGAGAGGCATTACAACATGCTCCAGTACCAGGTCTCCTCCTCCTCCCTGGCCAGGATCTTCCAGCTGCTCGTCTCCCACAAGGACAGTCTGTGCATCGAGGAGTACTCAGTCACACAGACCACACTGGACCAGGCAAGTCGGTCCCCTGGGAGGGGAAGGAGCTGCAGGGGCTGAGCTGGGCTCTGAAAGTCCACTGTGACCTGGAATTTATACAAGAGAGAAGCATGACATTCTGATTATTTTAAAGATTTATTTTGATTTTTGTTTATTTTATGGTGCTAGAAGGAGAGAGTGAGACATTTTCCATTCATTGGTTCATTCCCAAAATGACAACAATCACCAAGGTTAGGCCAAGCCAAGCCAGGAGGCAGGAACTCCATCGAGATGACCCACATGTGTGACAGGAGCCCAGACACCTGGGCCATCATCTTCTACTTTCCCAGGCACAGCAACTGGGAGCTGGATAGGAAGCAGAGCAGCTGGGACTCACTCCAATGTGCATATGGGTGTCTGCATTGTAGGCATTTTCCTAGCCTCCTGCACCACAATGCTTGCCCCAGACATTCCCAATTTTTAAAACACTGTTGTCCTCCATCCCTTAGCTAATTTTGTAAATTAGAAATTGTTTTCTAAGAATAATTTAGTCATCAACATCATTCTGATTTTTCTTTACATCATTCTTCCCTGCTCATTTGAAATCAACTTTATTGATTGATAAGCAATTTGACATATCATTGGCATTGCGGCAATAGTAATAAAGTCTCTCCCCATGACACTGGTATCCCATATGGGCACAGGCTCCAGTCCTGGCTTCCTCTTCTAATCCAGCTCTCTGGGAAAAAGCAGCAGAAGATGGCCCAAATGTTTGGTCTTCTGGCTTGGTGGCTGTTGCAGCTATCTGAGGAATGAACATATTGATAAAGGATCTCTCTCTCTCTCTTCCTCTCTCTTTTCTTTCTGTAACTCTGACCTTCAAATAAATGAAGACAATTTTTAAAAATATATATATGCCTAATGAATTGATAAATATGTGTTCAGTGTGGGTTTTTTAAAAATGTGATTATTGTTTTATTATTGTGAAATCATCCATTTTAAGGCTTTATTTATTTGAAAGAGTTATAAAGAGAGAGCTTCCATCTACTGGTTCACAGGCCCAGCTGGTTGCAACAGCCAGCACTGGGCCAGGCGGAAGCCAGGAGCTTTTCCCAGGTCTCCCAGATGGAAAGCAGATGCCAAAGCACTTAGGCCATTTCCCACTGCTTTGCCAGACTGTTAGCAGGGAACTGGATGAGAAGTGGAGCATGGGACACAAACCAGCACCCACATGTGACATAGGTATTGCAGGTGGCAGTTTTACCTACTACACCACAGCACCAGTACAGCTCAGTGACACAAAGTATATTCACACTGTGCTGCGCCCAACACCTCCATCCATCTCCACAAAACTTTCCATCTTGCAAAAATGCTATCCAATAAGTAATAATTCCCTATTTCCCCTCAGCCCCTGGCACTATCCTTTCAACTTTTTGCTTCTATGTACCTGACTGCTTTGTAGCTTGCTCATAGGGAATACAACAGCATTTGTCCTTCCATGACTGGCTTGCTTCACTTAGCAAGATATTACCAAAGTTCACCCATCTTGTACCATGTGTCAGAAGTTACTGCATCTATAAGCTTCAATAAACATTCCCTTGTATGTTAATGCCATGTCTCGATTATCTACCCATTTGCTCAGCACTAGACACTCGGGTTGTTTTCTATGGTTTTGTTTTTGTTTCGTTTTCCAGTGAGCAGGCTTAAAGACAGTTCAGTAAAGCAGTGGGAACAGGGAGGTCTCCATCAAGCCCGTGAGGACTGGCTGCTCGGTTCCCTTGCAGCTTTGCATCTGCTGAAAGCAAGTCAAGGTTATGCTGGGCTTCTGAAGCCATGGTCATGGCCACATCAAACATTGGGAAAATAACAGAAAAGACATCACTTCTGAAAGGATTAGAAAAATGCTGCTAGATGAGAATTTGCCTTGCCTTGAGTACCCCTGTCTCTGATGCACACAGGTTTTTGAATTATCCAGCATGAAATTCCTTTGCAGCTAGTGAGATGAAAAAGGAAGCCCCGAGGCTGGCGTTGTGGTGCAGCAAGTTGAGCGACCACCTGAGACACTGGCATCCCACATGAGTGCCAGTGTGAGTCCCTGCTGCTCTGCTTCTGATTCAGCTCCCTGCTAAAACACCTGGGGAAGCAGCAGAAAATGCCTTAGTGCTCAGGCCTCTGCCACCTTTGTGGGTGACCAGATGGAGATTCAGGCTCCTGGCTTCTGCTTAGTCCAGTGCTAGTCATTGTATCCATCTTGGGACTGAACCAGTAGATGGACAATCTGCTTCTCTGTCATTCTAGTTTTCAAGCAAATAAAACACTAAAAAAATTTTTTTTAATTTTACTTGAAAAGGCACAAGAACAGAGAGAGGGAGAGACAGAAAGAGAAATGTTTCACCATCTGGTTCACTCCCCAGATGGCCACAATTACTGGGGCTGAGGCAGTCTGAAGCCAGGAGTTTCTTCCAGGTCTCCTCTATGAGTGCAGGGGCCTAGGGACTTGGTCCACCCTCTGCTGCTTTCCCAGGGGACTGGACTGGAAGTAGAGCAACTAGCTGGTAAATGAACCGGCATTCATACGGGCTGCCAATGTCACAGGTGGCAGCTTTGCCAGCTACACCATAACACTGGCCCCCAAATAAATAGAATAAATCATAACAACAACGAAATAGAAGCAAGCTCTGTATATTAACTGTCCAACAGAGAACAATGAGGGTAGGCATACATAGGATGTTGTATTTTCTGGAAACAACTACCTACTCTTTCCCTTTCACTCCAGGTGTTTGTGAACTTTGCTAAGCAGCAGACTGAAATTCATGACCTACCTCTGCACCCTCGAGCTGCTGGAGCCAACCAACAAGCCAAGGTACTCAAACCATTTGGCCGCAGCCTGCTGCCTGAGGCAGATCTTTTGCTCAGGGTGTGCCCAGCTCTGCACAGAGGGCACAACATATCGCAGCAGTCCCCAAAGTCTCATTCTAACCCTGCCACTCACCACTAGCTCTGTGCTAAAGGGCTTCCAGTAAACTGGGTGGTGTGTGACAGTGTTTTTGTAAAAAGAAAAAATTGCTCATGTTTTTGCTAAAAGAAAAAAAAAATCTGTTCTTAGGCATACAAAGCAAGGAAGATAGAATACTTTTTTGTTTTGTCTGTTGGATGTCTGTTCAAACATCTGAGCTTCAAGTAAGGGAATGAACTGGCACTGTGCTTCAATGATTTGGTTAGATCAAGGACTAGTGTCTGTTTGAGGAAGTGGGCTCTTTGTTATAATAAAACTGTCATGATGAAGAAGGAGGCAACAGTATAAGCTATGTGTCCTGGCCTGTGAGAACTCTTAGGGATAGATTCCACATAAGTGGTCTCTGCCCCAAGTCCTCAGAAAGAGCCAGCAAGCTGACAACATCCAGGAGGAGGTACAAGCCCTCAGGAGCCTTGATGAAAACTTGGGATGTTCAAGGGATGAGGGCTTCAGCCACTCTACCTGGAATTCCAGGAAAAACATTTTGCCAGTAAGCAGACAATCTCATTCCCCCTCATCAATGTCTTGGGTGCAAGAAATCCAAACACAGCTGATGACTGAAATCCTCCTCTCCAGTTACTGCTTATGACCAATTTTTCCCTTCTGCTCCACCAGTAGAGACCGGGCAGTCAGAACTGCCTATGTGGACATGTGTCCATAGAAGGTTTACTTGCTGAAATTGTTCAGGCAGTTTTCCTTGATAGATCCTCAGTTGCTGTCATTGATAGCAGTCAAAAATTAGTCTTTGAGGATCACTTGCCTTGAATCCTTGTATAACTCAGAACACATAACTGCGCAGTGAACTTGTAGCTTGGGACTACCAACAGCCTCCGCATCCCCATGTGGCATAGTCCCTCCTAAGGACTAATGCCAGAGCACCTCTGAGCCAAGCCCAGGGAACGAATGTTCTATAGTCTCTAGCAGTTACCTCCCAGCTTTCCCCTTTTATTATTTATCACTTTGTTACTGTGTTTGTCACATAGTTCTCATGAATATTAGGAAACCTACAATCACACATTTTTTAAATTGGTGTATTTTTTAAAAACAAATGCTAGATTGAACTGAACAATTGTAATACTGATAGACTATGCTTTCAGAGGCTTGCAAAATCCTTCAGCATAGCATTGTCTGTTGTGAAAAAGATAGTCATTATGTCTTTCTTTCCAATTCAGCACTTTTAAATTATTTTCCTTAAAATATCCTACTAACAAGAAAAAGATGCTATCTCTCTCAGTTAAAGAGTGTCCATTGTGCCCCATGCACAGGTGATTCTGAGCTTCAGGAGAGCGTGCAGGCTAATGGCTTCACAACTCCAGACATTTTATCATCTGGAGATCTGTGTGTCTGCTCCTCTAGATCCTTGTGAAATTCTCAGGATCTTCTTGGGTTGGGGTCCTATGCACTCTCACAATCTGTTCTATGAAAACATGTGAGAGTCAAGATCTTTATGGATGAGTATGCGATAGTCAACTTAGCAACATCCTAAATGGGTGAATAAATGCATGACCTTCACAAGTGCTTTCCTAAGTCAGGAACGATCCAGACCAATTTCTGATCCTATTCTTGGACACTGGCTATTTCTCCCAAGTCTGTCCTTATCAGTTGCTTTTAGAAGTATGCAAGGTCTTGATCAGGATCCATATGCCAACTCAATGTAATGTTCTGAATCCTAATAATTGGATTTGTCTTCTCTTTGAGAGGATACGATTTTAAACCAGATGATTGGATAAACCACTTTTTCCTCAACAGAGTAGGCCGGTGTCCAGCCTGTTCCTTGCCCACACTCCCTGCCCTCACAGCTGTGCATTACTTCAGGAACTCTGCCCATGCATTGTAACTTGAGACAGTTTCTCTGTAATTGGAAAAGCCACATTAGAGTCCAAGGAGCATGGACTTAGTGCCCAAGCTTCCCTCCTGCACCTGCCATTCTCCATCTGAAATCCCTCCTCTCCTCCCATACTGACAAACTTTCCCAAGAAACCTACTCTGTAGGAAGTGGTCAAAAAGAATTCAGCAACTCAAGGCTGTCCTTCAATGTAGCTCCTTATAGCAGGGTAGCTTCTTGGGCTGTAAACCAAAAAGGCTTTTTATCTCCAGGAGAACAGAATGACAGAGTCCATATGATCTCCTTCTGCAGGTCTAATCTCCTTCCAAGCTGTGCACTCCCAGAAGCTGGAAAGGAACTCGGAGCAGCTGCAGGTGTAGAAGTTAGATAGATCCTCGAACAGCTGGCTGCAAAAGAAAAAAAAAAACCCAAAAGAAAGAAAGAAAAAAAGATCAGGTACAGCCAATAGACACATCAGCAGCGAACAATGAACTCCAAGGGGGACTCTTTCAGAAGGATACTAAAACTGGAACCTGTGATGGGGGAAACTGATCCAGCCAAACAAATAGAAAACCCTTTCCATCCATATGATAGTTGCAGAAATACCAGTGCACCCCAGCAGTGACCTCAATATTGCTCTCATTTCAAGTGGGTCTGTTTTTCTGTATGTGTGTATGTATGTATGTTTGCATGCTATTTTCAAGAAAAATAAAGTGCAAATGCAGATATACTCACTGCAGATGACCCTGTTTATTCACTACCACCACTGCTAGTGTACAATATCTGGTGTAGTTGTAGACACTCTGTTTGAGGGTGTGCAGCTCCATGTGGTTGCCACAGGCCATGGGGGTGAGTTATTGTTGTGGAATCACAGGATTCCACAACACTGGGGTGGAAGCAGATGAACTGGTCTTAGTATCTTAAAGGAGGGCCCAGCGCCGTGGCCTAGCAGCTTAAGTCCTCACCTTGAACGTGCCGGGATCCCATATGGGCGCCGGTTCTAATCCCGGCAGCTCCGCTTCCCATCCAGCTCTCTGCTTGTGGCCTGGGAAGGCAGTCGAGGACGGCCCAAAGCTTTGGGACCCTGCACCCGTGTGAGAGACCCGGAAGAAGTTCCTGGATCCTGGCTTTGGATCGGCATAGCATCGGCCATTGTACTCACTTGGGGAGTGAATCATTGGATGGAAGATCTTCCTCTCTGTCTCTCCTCCTGTCTGTTTATCTGACTTTCCAATAAATAAATAAATCTTAAAAAAAAAAAAAGACTTAAAGGAAACACCAGGGGGTAGTGCATGTACACATTGTCCTTTGCCAGTTAGGAATTATCTGATTCTGCAGTTCATGTTTGTTTGTCTAGCTTATGTGAGTGTCTATGCAGAGGTTATAATCAGGACAGAAGACAAGGAGGCATGGACGCATGAGAGAGCATCCTTGGTTGGCTTTGAGACTTGACATGCCTTGTAATTGTTTAAAGAACTCAGGTCTCTCTGGCACAGTGGGGTGCCACCTCCACGGTGCTGATGTGTGTCTTCCGCACTTGTGTTGGAAGAGAGTGGGCTCACAGCACATCTGGTTGATCCCACAAATGCTCATCAAAAATCAGAAATTATTAATGTTAAACTAAACCTTTTAGAAAACCTGCAGATGAGGACTGCAGATGGACTTTGTGCCCTACAGAGGAGCTGCCTAGAACAAGCATGTTCTGGAACAATTCTGTTCCACCCACAGAATTCTGTGCGTGTGAATGGGGGTGAAGGGATGAGGTAGGCTGAGGTCCTCTGGTAGCCAGAGGACATGGCAGACAGTGAGTGGAATGTAGTAAACTACCTCAGCTCCTGCAGAGGCAATCAAAGAGCTAAGCAGCACAGAAATGCTGCATGGCCATTGACTTGCTGCCTGGCACCTAATACATGCCAAACCAGTGAATGCCAACAGAGATTACAAACTACTTTGGTAGTCCATGAGCTTAATCTGATCTTGAGTCCTTTTAAAAATCTACCAGGAGCCTGGCAGGGTAGCCCGGTGGCTAAAGTCCTGGGATTGCAAATGGGCATTGGTTCTGTCCTGGCAGTCCCACTTCCCATCCAGCTCCCTGCTTGTGGTCTGGGAAAAGCAGTCAAGGACAGACCAAAGCCTTGGGATCCTGCACCCACATAGGAGAACCAGCAGAAGCTCCTGACTCCTAGTTTCAGACTGGTTCAGCACTGGCCATTGCTGCCACTTGGGGAGTGAATCAGCAGATGGAGATCTTCTTCTCTGTCTCTCCTCCTCTCTATGAATCTGCCTTTCCAATAAAATAAAGAAATCTTTTAAAAATTTTTTTTAAAAAGCCACCAGGGGGGGCCCCGGCACGGTGGCGCAGTGGTTCAGGTCCTCGCCTTGCACGCCCGGGATCCCATATGGGCGCTGGTTCTATCCCGGCAGCCCTGCTTCCCTTCCAGCTCCCTGCTTGTGGCCCGGGAAAGCAGTCGAGGACAGCCCAAGGCTTTGGGACCCTGCACCCACGTGGGAGACCCGGAAGAGGCTCCTGGCTTTGGATCGGCATAGCTTCGGATCGGCATAGCATCGGCCTGTGCTCACTTGGGGAGTGAATCATGGGATGGAAGATCTTCCTCTCTGTCTCTCCCCTCCATATATCTGCCTTTCCAATAAAAAAATAATAAAAATAAATCTTAAAAAAAAAACCCACCAGGGAACAAAACCATAAATAAGTATCAGAAGAGAGGATGGCTAAGCACAGGAGTGTGTTGTTGAAACTTACATCACAATGTGGCTTCTTAGATGGTCTTAAAATTTAAGTCAAGCAACTAGGATTACACAGTAAAGAAGACTATGCAAGGAAGGGTTACGCAGTGGGTTGTACAGTTTCAGAAAGGAATCAAGGACTGAAAGAGATGCATTAGCACAGCTTACCTTCTCTCCTTCTGTCTCCACCACTACACCTAAGTAAGATCTGTCTTTTTCATCCTGGTTTATTTTTCTCCAAGCACCTTCACACAGAAAATACTAAGAAAGAGAAAAAAAGCTAAGCTGAAAATCTGGCAAAAAAAAAAAAAAAAAATACCAAAAAGAACTAGGTCCAAGAAAATGGTATCTCCAAAAAGCAGCAAATGGTAAAATTAAGCAACAGAGATGCTGTACTTCAAAAAAATGCCAGTTACATATGGAAGGCAGAAGGAAAGTTGTGGCCTAGTTTGTTGGGTTTGAGAGCATGTTACATCAGTTGAAAGATCTCCCAGTTTAGTTCAATAAGGGAAATTGTTAGGGTGGAGGAAGAGGAAAATAGGGGTCAAGACATACTGCCAACATTGTGGTACCACTGCCTCTAAAGCCAGCATCCCTTATCACAAGTGACAGTTTTAGTTCCAGCTGCTCCACTTCCAACTCAACTCCCTACAAAAACAACAGATGATTGCTCAAGTTCTTGGACTCCTGCCATACTCAAGGAAGACCCAGAAGGAGTTCCAGGCTCCTGGTTTTGGCCTGGCCTGGCCTAGCCCTGGCCCATTGCAGCTTGCTCTCTCTTTCTCCCTCTCTCTCTACTTGCTTTCTCACCCTCGCAAATAATTAAATAAATATTTTAAAGAGAGAGGGAAGAAAAAGGAGGAGAATAAGGAGGAGGAAGGGCAAGAGGAAGAGAAGGAAGGAAGACAGATAACCACTAAGAAGATCTTCCAGGCATATGACTTGGTGACAGCTTCTCCAAGTTTCTAGTTACTCTTTGGAGAGTTCAAAATTGTGGGACAGCTAGAATCAAAAGAGAAATTTCTAGCATTATGAGTAGAACATTCTCAGAGTTTCATCTGCATGAAGAGACAGTGGCCTTGGAGGAATGAGTCTGTGTGGCAGCCTAAAAAGGAAGCCTCACCCCAGCAGATCTGCTGGGCAGAAAGGGTCCACGTTCCCCAGAACAGCTAGTGTTAGAGTTGACAGGCAGCTG